TATAGATCACCAACAACCAAAGTTAGGCCACCTTACTGGGGACCGTGGGGACTTACAATACTTCTGCTTCCTACACGGCTCCCCAGAAGGATTTACACCATCCCTTCAGCTGCTGGTGATGGTACGCAATTAAGCCAACAGTTAAAATTTACAAATATACTACGTTTAAAACTGAGGTATGAATAAATGTTCTTTGAATTATGTGGTTTTATATATCCTCTCAAGGGGCGATGGAAGACGAAAAAGTGATTATGTTGTTCGTGCTGTTTTCATCTTCATCTGCATAAGATGACAATAATAATTTTACAAACTATGATTTAATCATCAACATAAAAAAACTGAAGACAACGATACGAAATCATTGACATTGTTCAGCACACTAATACAACACAAAACCCGCCCACTCTTTTATCAGCTAATCAGGAAACAGTACTCTGCTAGTAGGCGTGGTCAAATGTATTTTAGGTTTACGGAAACAAAAGGAAAATTGTTTGCTTGTCACAATCCACATAATCATTTTCAATTATATGTACATGGACATTGTTGTGTAAGTGATTAATTCTCAATCACCAACAACCCTTATTTTCTGTAAGAGGGGCACGGTGGCGTTAAACCCGATTCACTCGTTCATTATTTGCTTTAACAACATTATGAAACAGAAATCCCATGTAGAGTGAGTGCGTGTTGTTAAACGTCTCAATCCATGTTCCATTAACATCACGGCGGTCTTTGAGGTCAGGTGAAATTGGGTTTAACGTCGCGTCCAAGATTTTTGCACTTATATAGCGACGTGTGTGTGTGTGTGTGTGTGTGTGTGTGTGTGTGTGTGTGTGCTAGTCCGGATTGATGCCGATTTATAATGCTAGCCCACTGAGATACCATGCCGCAGTTTAACATGAATACCCCACTCAGACACAGACTCCGAGCCGACGAGTATACTTACTCCGAGCCGACCAGTCCTTGTTTTAGACCCTTAATGCCGAGCGCCAGACAGGGTAACAACAAGTACCATCTTTTAACGTCTTTTGGTGTGACGCGGCCGGGGATCGAACCCCGAACCTTCCGCTCTCAGGGCGGACGCTCTACCACTAGACCACGGAGGCGGTCCGGCGGTCTTTGAAACATCCAGTACGCTAACCACTGACTTAGTGGTTGACAGCATGTGCAACGACCATCGACTACGATATCACGCAACCAACCACGTCAACATTGTTCCAACCCGATCCTCAATACGCCACCTCGGAATAGTTGTACCATATAAACTGCCTTGCAGAAGAAATTTACACACTTGAAAATTGGATTTGAACAACAAATTACAAACGTACGTTATCAAAACATATAAGCTGAAAGAAGTTGCCGAAACACTGCAAACGTTCGCCCCAAAACACAACTAAGATATCGCCGTCGACGAACCATTTTTTGTATGTTTCATTTTTAGCCATCATCAATTGCGTACATCGATGCTCATGATATCAATCACTGGACTTTCTGGTCCAGACTCGATTATTTACAGATATAGCTGGAATACTACCGAGAGCGGCATTAAAGGACAAACAAACAAACCTTTCTTTTTCCCGGCAATTGGTATAGCTCAAAATCACTGTGTGGTACTAGGCAAGGCCACCTCTAGCATTTTGGGTGCGGGTTTCCAAGAGGCCTACGGTACTTTATCGTACTTTTATGTCAGAATGATGAGACCTGATTGGTTTCCGTGATCTTGATAAAATAGGAGGGAAATAAATATCTCAGTGGGAGAATAAATCAATAAAACCCCGCCACGAACAAGACAGGCTGCACTTTGATTTCGGAGAGGGAGAATAAAGAAAGCCGTTTTTTTCCGAGTCAATGAAAGTCACGTGACATAGCACAAGTTAACCTCAGGTCAATCGTGAGTAACGCTCTAGGGGATTTCAAAGCATTGTGACCGCCTCCGTGGTCTAGTGGTAGAGCGTCCGCCCGGAGAGCGGAAGGTCCGGGGTTCGATCCCCGGCCGCTTCATACCAAAAGACGTTGAAAGATGGTACTTGTTGGTACCCTGTCTGGCGCTCGGCATTAAGGGGCTAAAACAAGGACTGGTCGGCTCGGAGTCAGTATACTGTGTCTGGGTGGGGTATTCATGTTAAACTGCCGCATGGTATCTCAGGGTTCTAGCACTATAAATCGGCATCAGCCCGGACTAGTACAAGCAGCCACACACACACATGTTCATGCACGTCGCTATATAAGTGCAATAATCTTGGACGCGACGTTAAACCACCAAAGCATTATCTGGAAAATATACTAGCCACATAAAGAAACTGTGCACGGAGAAAATATAGATATAAGGGCACACCGTCCACATATGAAATATAGGTTTGAACACAGCAATTATTGGAGACATTCAAACGCTCATGCACGTGCCATGCGATATGACGTCATTGATGGGGGCCTATGGACGTGCAATGTGTTACTGAACGTGCATCATGTGCAACTCAAAATTCGCTGTCACTTTGGAAAGTATGATCTGTGGTCATTCAAAAAGTCAAAACTTCTCAGGCGCAGACACAAGCATATCACAAGCAAATCATGCCAAGATTGACAGCTGCACAGCGTCATGAAGCCATTGTGATGATCCGAGCGGGAATGAGGCAACAACAGGTGGCAACACATTTCCAATCCATCGTAACACGATATCGGCATTGGTGAGGCGTTATCAGAACACAAATGACGTTGCCGACCACCCACGTTCAGGACGTCCCCGAGTAACGACGCAAAGACAGGACAGATGGATTCGAGTTACACATCTCCGACACAGGTTCCAAACGGCAGTAAGGACGTCCCAGACAATTCCTGGACTGCGCCGTATCCATCCCAACACTGTCAGGAATCGTTTACGTCAGTACGGGATTCGACCACGACGCCCTGCCATACGTCCCATCCTGACACACCGTCATCGCGTCAACCGTCTAAGATGGTGTCGAAATCATGTTCGCCAACCTCGAATATGGTGGAGAAATGTTGTCTTTACAGATGAATCGAGGTTCAACATTTCCCACAGTGACGGGCGCCAACGTGTCTACCGGCGTTTGGGAGAACGTTATGCACGCAACTGTATTGTGAAGAGGAATCGTTTTGGAGGTGGCTCTGTGATGATTTAGGGTGGGATAACAGCACGGCACCGAACCCCTTTTGTGGTTGTTCAGGGCAATCTCACCGGTGTTGGCTACAGAGATCAGATTCTGAGGCCTGTGGTCATTCCTTTCCTGCAACGTCATGGCCCGGGATTGACATTTCAACAGGACAACGCTCGTCCTCACACGGCTAGGGTCGCAATGGATTTCCTTCACCATAACAATGTCATGTTACTGCCATGGCCTGCAAATTCTCCAGATCTCTCCCCAATAGAGCATGTGTGGGATGAAATGGAGCGCCGTCTGCGTCGTCTTCCACATCCTCCAGATAACGTCCGTGACTTGGCACAGGATTTGAGGATATGGCAGGCCATTCCCCAGGCCTTCCATGCCCATTTGGTGGACTCCATGCGTCGCCGATGCACTGCTGTGATTCACGCACAGGGTGGTCATACCCGTTATTGACTTTGTGACTTTGTCGTTTGACCCCCTACTCCATTTTGATCTTCTGACGTCATCGTAACAGATGTTGTTCAGGTCCCGTTGACATATTCTTATGGTCCGATCATTCAGCTGCTACAGCGTCTGCATCATTTTGTTCTTGCTGTGTTGTATTTCAATTCAGAATATATTTTCTCCGTGCACAGTTTCTTTATGTGGCTAGTATAGATTAAAAGCGTCTCGTGCCACATGGGAGTAAATAAGAACTTGTTTAAATTTCCACTCTACATAATTTGAGTAATCAGGTGCAGAACATACAATTGTGAGCCTTTTGTACTCCCATATCTTCTACGTTTATTACACAATCTGTCAGGCAAAAAGAATATATTGTTTCATGTATTGTTTCATTTTAGGTCACCAGCCAACATTGGCATATACATTATTTTGTGTGTGTGTGAAATACACACAACCGTCCTACAATGTGTGAAGACCCCCGACCCAATTTCTGGCTTCCCCCGCCGTTATATTGCTGGACTCTTGCCAAACGCATCTTCCCGAAGCAAGAGAGTTAACTGACTATAAAAGTCCAGTTTCCACCCTTGCCGAACTCGGCTGGTATTATGGAGTTACATTTTGGCTGGACTAACGAGTCTATGCATAGAACAATTAAAATCGCGAACCGAAATCGAAATCCGGTTCGTAAACTGTCATGCAGAGTTCGGTCGATTGCAGGAATTGCGAAGCATGTCCACCGCCAACTCGTTGTCAACAGATATTTTCCAAATCTTTTCAAGTTTTTAATATCAAGGTGCTCACCTGATTTGATGCACTTCCCGGTTTATCATGATATAGATCTTGATTGTCGATCAGATCGTCTTGTCTTTTGTTTGAAACAAATGCAAGTGACACGAGAGGTGGAATCTGATTGGTTCATAGGAGAGGCATAGAAGGGACATAACTCGTAATAGCCACTGGTGGCGCTACAATCGAGTCCAGGAATTCCAGCCCAGTTCGACAGGGATGGAAACTGGACTTTTAAAGTCAGTTAACTCTCTTGCCTCGGGAAGATGGCCAAACGCGGCGTAAAACCACACTCACTAACATATAACCGTCTGATCAAATGCACTCATAAGTTGGGGCAATTCTGCTGGAAGTTACTGTTGAGAAGGACGAAGACGGTCCTGTCACTTTTAAAACGAAGTAATTGTAGCGAAAGGGTATTTATCATAAGTGAGTGAGTGTGGTTTTACACAGCTTTTAGCAATATTCAAACAATACGACGGAGGAGACACCAGAAACGGGCTTCCCACATTGTACCCATGTGGGAAAACGAACCCATGTTTTCGACGTGACCAACGAACACTTTAAACAGCAGGCTACCCCAACGCCCCTATCATAAGTGAGATAATACATTGGATAATCAACAAGGCTGCCAACACGTAATCTTACCAATTGTAGCGTTATCGAAAATCCTGAGGTCGTGTTTGCCGAACTTTCCTATTCGGCACATGCATCTGTCGCCGCTGTCCCAGAGAACCTCGCACGTGCCCTCGCCGCCCACGCTGGCCACCGTGCCCACGTGACCTTCACCTCCATCACGGTCTTCACTCGACCAATCAGGGCCTCGCAAGACGCGGAGGCCTACTGACATATTCTTAGGTCAGTGGGTCAAGGTCAGAAGGAATATTCTGCAATCATACAAATAACTAGAGTTGTTTGTCCTTCCCAAAATGGAGGCAGAACCCTTCACTAATATTTCTTCAAAGCCCCAATATCATAACCTATCAGCAGTCCAAAACATTGAATTTATTTCAGCCCTTGATATGACCTTAATCGAGACAAGTAAAGTTGTAAATGTAACAGTGTCTGGCAATAAATGCTACACTCTCTTTTCACAATAACATGAATACCGATCTGGCCATGTTATGTTAGAAGGGAGAAACCGGCATTGCTGCCTTACCACAAAGAGGCAGGATGTCTTACCACCAAGGGGTGTGGATGTCTTACCAACAAGGGGTGTGGATGTCTTACCACCAAGGGGTGTGGATGTCTTACAACCAGGGGGCGTGGATGTCTTACTACCAAGAGGCAGGATGTCTTACTACCAAGGGGTGTGGATGTCTTACTACCAAGGGGCGTGGGTGTCTTGCAACCAAGGGGCGTGGATGTCTTACAACCAAGGGGCGTGGGTGTCTTACAACCAAGGGGCGTGGATGTCTACCAAGCAAGGGGCGTGGATGTCTTACAACCAGGGGGCGTGGATGTCTTACTACCAAGGGGTGTGGATGTCTTACAACCAGGGGGCGTGGATGTCTTACTACCAAGAGGCAGGATGTCTTACTACCAAGGGGTGTGGATGTCTTACTACCAAGGGGCGTGGATGTCTTACAACCAAGGGGCGTGGATGTCTTACGGCCAAGAAGCAGGATGTCTTACTACCAAGGGGCGTGGATGTCTTACAACCAAGGGGCGTGGATGTCTTACAACCAAGGGGCGTGGATGTCTTACAACCAGGGGGCGTGGATGTCTTACAACCAAGGGGCGTGGATGTCTTACAACCAAGGGGCGTGGATGTCTTTCAACTAGGGGGCGTGGATGTCGTACTACCAAGGGGCGTGGCTGTCTCAACACCAAGGGGCGTGGATGTCTTACAACCAAGGGGCGTGGATGTCTTTCAACTAGGGGGCGTGGATGTCGTACTACCAAGGGGCGTGGCTGTCTCAACACCAAGGGGCGTGGATGTCTTACAACCAAGGGGCGTGGATGTCTAACAACCAAGAGGGGTGGATGTCTTACTACTAACAGTCAGTATGTCTCAACACCATGGACATTGGGTGTCTTTCTACCAAGGGGTGTGCATGTCTCAAAACCAAGAGCATGGTTGTCCCTCTTAGTCGTTGAAGGGACCGGTGCCCAGTAAAATGGTAGAGGTCTGCGATCTGCGGCACCATGGGTTTTCCTCCGAGGCGCGCTAACACAATGACGCTGTAGAGAAAGGCCACCCGGCCTCGGCTCCCCATAAGGACACAATGTAAACCCCCTGCCATGAACTCGCTTGACTGGTCACAACGATCGATCTGTTGTTGAGCATGGGTTGCTGAAGACCTATTCTACCCTGGGTCTCACCGACAAGAACGTGTTTCGTGTACAGTATAGCATTCAATAGGGACACTACTAACTTCGAATTAGAGCGTGACCTGGTCTACAAAATTTATATGTATTATAGCCGGGTTGGCTCTCTACCAAGGGGTACTTTGACACGTCCACAGCTAGGGTGTGCGGTGTGTAATACAATGAGGTATTCCTAAGAAGTTCATGATTAAAACTACACACGACTGTGTTCAAACAATTTTCTTTTTTTGATCGGCACTCTCTTAATTTGAATATATTCCTTAAGATAAATTGTTAGAGTTAATATTATTCCTATAACTGTATTCTAGTCGGAAATATTTATCTGTGCATGAAAAAAAACTGAAATGTAGAATACAATACAAGTGACGACATAATGCAGACAGCAGCATATTACGGAGTGTGGCGTTAAACAACCAAAACAAACATGCTTGAAAACGGTAGTAGCATCTGTACTGTAACATCACATTGGAAGACAAAAGGGACTTACATTCACGTATTCTGTCTTAATTTATACAGCTTTTAAAATGCCAATTAAATATATTTCTTTATTTCTTTGTTCATTCCGGGCAGGGGGTGCGAAGCGGGTCCGACGTGATATATATTGAAAGTTGATAAATAAATAAAATAAATAGATGTCATTTAACTGTAACAACACAGCTTCCTGCTTTCTGAAACAGTGGGTACATACATCATGACAGAAGGTATGTCCGGTCGTTCAAACGACCAGCAGTGAACGGATACAAGGCCTTACATCAAACTGAGATACCACTAGCTATTCAAAAACTCAACTGTAATTTTATCTAAAATTTAAATACCAGTAAATAACTTTCTAAATAGCACAAAAAGCAAAACTGTCCCAGAGAAGATAGGATTGAGTGAGTGAGTGAGTATAGTTTAACGCCGCTTTTAGCAATATTCCAGCAATATCACGGCGGGGAACACCAGAAATGGGCTTCACACATTGTACCCATGTCGGGAATCGAACCCGGGTCTTCGGCGTGACGAGCGAACGCTTTAACCACTAGGCTACCCGACCGCCCCCAGCACCATAGGATTGGCACAATATCACAGTATATGGCACTCTAATCAAATGTGGAATTACTGTTGAGTGTTATTTTGCCACATATGAAACTAATTATACTGATAGCAGTATCATTGTGACACACTAACACACTTTGCCTGAAATTGTCCCTACGTTGGATTTATTTGTCTTCCACTATATTTGTCAACATATATATTGTATGTAGGAGCAGGTTTTCCGCTCATTGTGTATTTGTTGTGTATTCATTCCCAAACGGTGTAGGGGTGTTGTCCTTCATTCCCCCATGCGTTATTCCCTTGACACAGCGTACAAATGCGTCACAAAACATGTTATTCAGCTGAAATGTGAATAACGACAATTGAAAACATTAAAGGGAATATTGCTCCCCTAAATAGCGTTATAACGAGGTATGAAACATAAAATGATACGCAATATGTAAACATATGACAATGAAAAATGTACAGGCCCACCCAATATTACTTAATATTACCTCAACACTTATTGATCATAACATTTCATTCTGTGGTTTGCAGAACATAAGGTACGACCTCGTCGACAATTCTATTTTTAGGACAAAGGTACGCTATCGTCCTTATTATGCGTAACACTGCATTGGATAAACGTTGCAGTCATTTTAGTTCAACGACAATAATAAATCTTGCCCTTCACAACATACAGGAGTTCACCGTCGTTTTGTCGGGGTTTCGATTTCAGTGGTAGCGTCGCACAAAGACGAGGCTTTCCAAACCCTTTGTATTCGTTCTTCAGACCACCGAGACGATACAAACACGTGCCAATTGTTCTTGTTTCGACATCACATGTAATTTGTCAATCTGTGATCACCTGATTAATGGTAATATGTACTCACCTTGCTGCGAAATATGTCCACACAAGGAAGTGTAAGTGCCCTTGTCAGGGTTATTAATAACGGGTGGGTTTTCCCCACAACTTTCGTTTTACTATTTTGAGGTTGTGAAATAGGGTTTAACGCCACGTTCAATAATACTGCACTTATATGAACGCGCGCGCGCGCGCGCGTGTGTGTGTGTGCGTCCGTGCGCGCATTTATGCGAGTGCTTGAACTGAACTAATGCAGGTTTCATTGTGCTAGCCCACTGAGGTACCATGCTGCCGCAGTTTAACATGGATACCCCACAAAGACGCATTGTACAAACTCCGAGCCGACCAGTCCTTGTTTTTAATCCCCTTAATGCCGAGTGCCAGACAGGGAAACAACAAGTATCATCGTTTAACGTCTTTGGGTATCATCTTTTAAAGTGCATTTAAGGGCTGGTTATTAGTTATGGTGTCCTACGTTTGCACCTAAATTCCCAATCATCTCTATACAATTCAACACTTTGGGATTCAAGGTAAGAATGTGGGTCCCAAGCAACCTATGATTGTGGTAAAATAAGACTCAATGAGAGGGGGGTGATAAAACTGGCATATTTGCTGAAGACATGGTAAATAAAAGCTACTAAACCATCTCCATAATCATAAGAAATGTCTGCAAAAGGTAGAGTCGATTGTATGATTCCGACTTTTTCATAAGGAAAGGTGTATGAATCACTTCAGTGATGATACCAGGTGTTTGACAAAACGTGAGCTATCCTTCCCAACTGGAGGCTCCCATCACAAACACATGCAAAGGCAAGTCAAGTGTTCACCTGAAAAAAAACACAGGATCATATCGTAGACAATCGTTTATTTCTTAAATAAATAGAGATGTTGGTCCATAACACATTGCTATTAAACCAGACAATCAGAAAAGCATGGCAGGGGAGCAAGGTTGATGTCTCATGTTGATGTGGTCTGTATTTTCAAAAATACAGTGGTGTTATTCTATTGGTTCCTGTCATGGCAGTTGATCTTTTCCTCTAATAATGTGGTCAGCCAATAACAACAGTTGTGCCCAATTCCAAGCTCATATTCACAACAGGACAGCCAGCTTTCCTTGTGAAACATGTATTTTATTTGACATAACTGTACATCATAAGTGTGCCTGTACATAACATAACTCTCTCACATCTTTTATATACATATATACAACCACACCATGAATACCTCAACATATACTTTCAAAACAACAATATTTGGGTGTAGAGATTGGCAAAACTGATGACAAATGTACCATGCTTTGAAAGAGGTCAAGACTGAAGCCCTGAAGCCAAGACCATGGTGATACTTTTCCAGGCTAAAAGTAAGACCCAAGTGCACCTTCAAACAGATCTATAGGACATTCTTCCTTTACTTCAGAATAGGTCTTCACCAACCCATGCTTGCTGTAAAAAGCGACTATGCTTGTCGCAAGAGGCGACTAACGGGATGAGGTGGTCAGACTCACTGACTTGGTTGATGCAGTGGATTGTCTGGTCCAGACTCAATTATTTACAGACCGCAGTCATATAGCTTGAATATTGCCGAGTGCGGCATTAAACAACAAACAAACAAATCCTTTACTTCAGTCACTTCACTGGACAGGCTGGCATGTGCAATGTTGACCAACACCAGGTGCTTTATCTGGACCATGTATGTGTTTTATGTATGCATGGGGGATGCACTTTGCACAGCAAATTCCAGCGCTTCAGACGATTGGACTACCCTTCCCACAGATAAATCTAAGAATATTCTCTCCATGACAGCTAACTTCTTCAGAGAGACAGGTAAACTAACTGTCGTGATCTGTCACCTTGTTAAAGTAATATCAGGTTGGCATGATGTGTGTGTGTCTGTCTGAGATACCATGCCACAGTCAAACATGGATACCCACTCCGACAGTTTATTGACTCCGATCGGATCAGTCCTTGTTTTATCTCGTTAATGCCGAGCATCAGTGGGTGAGTATGGTTTTACGCCGCTTTTAGCAATATTCCAGCAATATCACGGCGGGGGACACCTGAAATGGGCTTCACACATTGTACCCATGTCGGGAATCGAACCCGGGTCTTCGGCGTGACGAGCAAACACTTTAACCACTACGCTACCCGACCGCCCCTCCGAGCATCAGGCAGGGCAACAAAAAGTACTATCTTTTAAAATACTTTGGCATGACTTGGCTGGGGATCGAACACCGAACCTTCCGCTCTCCAAGCAGACACTCTCTCCACTAGACCCTGGAGGCAGTCACCGAGGAACTGAACGTCAAAGACGTCTTGTAGACTTCTAGATAAATATCCTCAAATCTAACAAGGCTTCTTAGCTCCTTGTTAATTTGTTTTGTAACACTCAGCAATATTGCAGCAAACCGATGTCAGTCCATAAAAAATTGAGTCTGAACCAGACAGTCTAATGATTCATACTGATCAATGCATTTGGGATAAAATGACATGAATCAATCAAGTCAGAAAGCCTGACTACACATTCCTGTCAGTTTCCTCGAACGACAAGCATTGGTTGCTGAAGACCAATTCTAACCACTCTTTATTTTCAAGTCTATACTCAGAAAGTTGGAAATAACTTAGCAAAGATAGCGTGATCCCTGCTGAAATTGATAATTTACACCTGATCCTTTCCTTCATCTTTATAGGCTTACAAGAGATGATGGAGCCTCCCCAGAGAGACAGCGAGATGCAGTGATGATGTGGTACTATCTGTGGCGATGTCCCGTTTCTCTAATGCTTCTTGTGGCCTCGACCCTGGGGCCCACCGCGGTTGTAGGTGAAACTTTTGTTCCCTCGGGAGCTGTTGCGTTTCTGATTCTGATAAAAAGAGACAGTGTGAGATTCAATGCAATTGCCAGATCTTTTACAGTTGTATCATACTAACCTTTCCTAAAAACAACATTCCAACATTGATAAAGCTGGAATATTGCTGAATGCAGAGGAAAACAATACTTCATCAACCAGGTCACATGACACACCAACAACCAGGTCACATGATTCAGCAACAACCAGGTCACAGTGACACACCATCAGCCAGGTCACATGACACAACAACCAGGTCACATGACACACCATCAACCAGGTCAAAGTGACACACCATCAACAAGGTCACATGACACACCAACTACCAGGCCACATGATTCACCAACAACCAGGTCACAGTGACACAACATCAACCAGGTCACAGTGACACACCATCAACCAGGTTACAGTGACACACCATCAACCAGGTCACAGTGACACACCATCAACCAGGTCACAGTGACACACCATCAACCAGGTCACAGTGACACACCATCAACCAGGTCACAGTGACACACCATCAACCAGGCTACAGTGACACACCATCAACCAGGTCACAGTGACACACCATCAACCAGGTCACAGTGACACACCATCAACCAGGTCACAGTGACACACCATCAACCAGGTCACAGTGACACAACATCAACCAGCTCACAGTGACACACCATCAACCAGGTCAAAGTGACACACCATCAAGTAGGTCACAGTGACACACCATCAAGTAGGTCACAGTGACACACCATCAACCAGGTCACAGTGACACACCATCAATTACACATGACAGCTGATCTGTCACCCAATATAGTACAAACATTGTTTTCTGGATTTAAAATATGTTGAGATGAATTTCCAACTGAAATTTTTGCATTCCTTACCTTATTCTTTTTTCCTTTCTTGAATTTTCCAGCAGGATTAAACTCATCTTTAGCTTTTGAAGTTCCTGAAATATTGCAGTCAGCATTTTATCACAAGTGGGTGAGAAGTAAGATTCATTGAAACACCAGTACACCACAACACTCAACGATTCAATACACGATATCCTGCAATCTGTATCTATCACATGTATTTAACAAATTGTTAATCATGATGAACAAAAAAAGAAGAAAATAACTATACAATTTGTCATTTAACTCCTGCAGCTGGAGTGAAACCTTGTTTATCTGGAGATCCTTTGGCTGCTTGTGTTGGGAATGCTTATATACAGTTGACCCGTGAAGATCCAGGGTAGAATAGGTCTTCAGCGACCCATGCTTGCAGTAATCGGGATCGGGTGGTTGGGCTTGCTGACTTGGTTGAAGCATGTCATCGATCCCAACTGCATGGATCGATGCTCATGATATCAATCACTGGATTGTCTGGTCCAGACTCAATTATTTACAGACCGCCATCATATAGCTGGAATATTGCTGAGTGCGGCGTAAAACAACATACCAACTAACCAACTATATTACATTACCGCTTACCATTGATTCGTTAATCAGGAACTTTGTAAATCCAAACAACTTAAATTTGAACAGCACCGTCTGGATTAACGGGGTTCCACTGTATAAAGCTACAATCAAACAGGATACATCCTTCAACAAACATTAAACACTGAACACAAACCTTGAAATATTTTGCTGTAAGAACCACTGTAATCATGTGGCACAAACTCCTTGGTTTTCCTCCCCTTCTTCTTTGGCACCTCTTCTTCTTCTTCTCCTTCTTCCTCCTCCTCCTCTGGTTCTTCTCCCACCTCTTCCCCAAGGGATGGCTCTTCAACCACTCCCTCGTCCATGGCCCCGGGAAGACTTGCCTCATACAGTGGGTCCTTTTTCTTCTTCTTTTTCTTCTTCTGCAAAAGAATAATAGCCATGTTGGAATGTACTTATTTTTGGGGTTGTTGCTTAACGCCACACTCAGCAAATACTCCAGCCATATGACGGCGGTCTGTAAATAAGCAAGGCTGGACCAGACAATCCAACTATTGAGCATCTATCTTTGCAGTTGAGATACGATGACATGTATCAACCAAGTCAGCAACCCGTTAGTTGCCTCTTACAACAAGCACGGTTGCAGAAGACCAATTCTAACCTGGATTTTAACGGATATACCTGGTCAGAAACATGTTTGGGGCATTACAAGTGTACAATTTCTTCAAGCCAATATGCAAATATCAAATTGATTGCATGAACTTTTTTCGTGACAGTGAGGAAAACACTACCTGCTTCACACAAAAAATGAGTAAAACAGGGAAATATGGTGGAAACTGATAATATTCCCAAGTGCTGTAAACTAGACTTGCTTATTTATTGATGTTCGGTGTTGTCTGACTGTTAGAGTCTTCCAAGGTTATTAAAGATTTAAGTGTAAGTCATACTTTGAAGCCATTTTGTCTACCAAATTCATTTTCACGTTGTCTGACAGATTTATCTGGTCCTGCTTAAATTTGTTTGTTTGTTGTGTAACACCACACTCAGCAACATTCCAGTTATATGATGGCGGTCTGTAAATAATCGAGTTGGGACCAGCACAGCATAGTCGTCTTTTACGACAAGCATGGGTTGCTGAAGACCTATTCTACCCTGGATTTTCACGGGCGAGAACTGCTTAGAACTTCTATTTCGCATCAAGTTTGCAACTGTCACATGGGAATCAGACATTTCCGAGTTCATGCCGTTTTAGAATTATTACAGGACCAATATTGAGGAGTGAGTGAGTTTGGTTTTACGCCACTTTTAGCAATATTCCAGCAATATCACGGCAGGGGACACCAGAAATGGGTTTCACACATTGTACCCATATCAGGAAACAAACCCTGGTCTTCGGCGAGATGAGCAAACGCTTTAACCACTAGGCTACCCGACCACCCCCATTATGGAGGAAGAGGCTTTACTGCTAATTTGTATATTGAATACAATGTGATAATACCTCTGAAGTTAGGAAAACATGAACAACAAAAATCCCAATTTTGAAACAAAAAATTCCTATTTGCCTACCAGTGGAACTTACATAAATCACTGCCTGACATGCATGAGATACATGGGCCATATTCAGTGCAGAGGTGTGGAGACATCTTATGTGTCAACCTGTCCCAATCACGCGATCAACTTGAGTGAATGAGAATGGTTTTACACCTCTTTCAGCAATATCATGGCGGGAAACAACAGAAATTATGTTCACACATTGTACACATGTGGGGTGTTCAGCGTAACGAGTTGGTTACCACCCCCCCACCCCCCCCCCCAGTGGCAGGAGTTCACTGCTAACACCATCAACATGTATTACCTGAGCCTGCTCTCGCAACACAAACTCATTGGTGCTGATGGGGATAGTGTCAACCTTCACTCTCTTGGCAGGTGGTTCTGAAAAGAAATCATTTGGTCATTAAACCAGTGAGTGACTATGCTTAGTCAGTGACACGTCAACTATAGCTGTATGAGCACTTATTTGATGTCATCACAAAGCAGTGAAACAAGACTTTTCCCGACTGTCTGAAGTTTAAAACGGAGAATGGGGAAGTTGTCAAACACTTTTCACTTAAACTTTATTATTTTGAGGCTTACTCAATTGCTTAGTGACACATGTAATACTGTTTAACACAGATAAATAATTGTTTATGTTATTCATAATGGGCATTATCAATTCTCGGTCACATGACTGTCCTGTGTCGACATGTGTGTGACTGACATGAGTGAGTGAGTGAGTGAGTGTCAGGAATTGAACCCAGGTCTTTGGCGTGACGAGTGAATGCTTCAACCACAAGGCTACCTGACCGCCCCTCCAGTCACAATGAACACACACTGGTTGACCAAACACACTATGCTATTGACATTAAAAGTGGCCTTTGAATAATTGAGTCAGGGTCCCAATTCACAAAGCCTTTGAAGCACTTGACCTGTCATAACTATAGAGTTTATCATAGCATACGGATGTTGTAGCCCAATGAACACTTCGTGGGCCGGGCCCTTGGCCATAAACCAGTTACTTTATGAATGGGCAATGTCATACGCCATCAGGGTGTGATGACATGCAATAAAACAAAACCTTCTCTACTAGATTCATTTACTCAACTCTTATGACGAATAAAGTGCTCGGGACTGATTCTAACCTAGTCTACTTGTCACTCACCATATATATGCACTGGTTGACCTGTGACCGGGTCGATCTCGGTGTCTGACGTGTGTTCTGTCGGAGGCTTCACACCCTTCTCTGTGACTGTGTTTGGTTTCAACTTCCAGGGACTTACATTCTAAAACAAGAGAAAGAGAGTACATTAATCAGCACTTAATCACCAATATTCCAGCAATATCTTGGTGAGGAACACAGAAAATGGGTCATATGGAGAATTGAACCCGGGCCCTAAGCATGAAGATCTCGTTACTCAACTCTTACGACAAGTATAGTCACCTGTTACGATAATCATGGGTTGCTGAAGACCTACCGGTATTCTAAACTGGATCTTCGACCATGATTGATAAAGAAGTACTTTCCTATAAACAGTAGCTGCTACAATGATGACCAATCAAAATCCAGTATTTTCCAAAGTCATGGTACAATTAGATATACCGGGTAACACCACTTTAAACAGTACATAGTAACATCACATCAAATCTTATCCCGCATGGCACATAGCATAAATCGTTGTGACTGTAGGAGTTGTTTGTTTGATTGTTGTTTACACCGAATTCAGCAATGTGCCAGCTATATGAAGGCAGCCAGACAATCCAGTGATTGATATTGTGAGCAACAATCCACACCGCCAGGGCATGATGAAACACCAATCAACACACTGACAATCTCCTCTCAACCAAGTCCCGAGGATGACCACCCCTTCAATTTGGTCGATTTGTTACAACCAGCACAGATTGCTGTGGATCAATTCTAACCCAGAATCCCCACTGGCAGCATTTTCCCGAGGCAAGAGAGTTAACTGACTATAAAAGTCCAGTTTCCACCCTTGCCGAACTAGGCTGGTATTATGGAGTTACATATTGGCTGGACTAACGAGTCTATGCATAGTCCAATCAAAATCACGCACCGAAATCGAAATCCGGTTCGTAAAGTGTCATGCAGATTTCTGTCGACTGCAGGATTTGCAAAGCATGTGCACCGCTAACTCGTCAACAGATATTTTCTATATCTTTTCATGTTTTTAATCAAGGTGCTCACATGATTTGATGCACTTCGCGATGTAAGACTCGTTTGATCACAATATAGATATTAATTATCGATGAGATCGTCTTGACTGGGCGCCACCGTTTTGTTTGAAGCAAATGCAAGTGATACGAGAGGTTGAATTTGATTGGTCAATAGGAGAGGCATAGAAAGGACATTACTCGTAATAGCCACTGGTGGCGCTACGATCGAGCCGAGGAATTCCAGGCTAGTTCGGCAAGGGTGGAAACTGGACTTTTAAAGTCAGTTAACTCTCTTGCCTCGGGAAGATGCACTGGCAGTGACTAATAGGAACATCTTCCATCGACGATCCATCCTAGTACAGAAACATATGCATGGCTAAATGTGAAGTGTTTCAAACCCTCTGAAAACCTGTGTTCAGTACAAGTTACATCATATCCATTTACCTGATTTCAAGTTTCAAGATTCAAAAAATTAAAAAATTAAAAATCACTTTCAAAATGAAACCCAAATTTCAAGGTCGTGATGTCCCCACTAGATTTTTCTTCTTCACCTACCTGAATAGATGGTTGTGTTTGTGACAATTCTTTGGTCTTTGTTGACTTCTCATCTGGTTGTAAATACTGAAAGATGGAGCAAATAATCACAATATATCTCCACCTGACATGACAAATAATATTCTTTGAACATCAAGGAGTGAAAGGGTGAGGTTTTATGCCGCTTTTAGCAATATTCCAGCAATATCACGGCGGGGCACACCACAAATGGCCTTTACACATTGTAACCATATCAGGATTCGAACCCTGGTCTTCGGCGTGACGAGCGAACGCTTTAACTACTAGCCTACCTGACTGCCACATTGAACATCAAGGAACCAATGGATACATGAAATCAAATTTCTCATTACAGCATTTCAGTAACACAAGTCGTAAATAGGACTTTCTTAAAGTTCTTAGTTTTAGAGGTTGTTGACCGTGACCAAGCCATCACATTCGCCATGACTATATTTACATAAATAGGAAATTCCTAATTCCCTTTTGGGAAGTTTTACTGAAAAATGCTTCAGATTTAGACTCTGAGGTCTAGATAATTCCAAGGGAGGATGCTGATAAAACAAGGCTCATAATCAAGCCAATTGTTGGATTCAAACCATGTGACAACAGATCCTGGTACAACCAAGGGAGGCAACTCTGCACAGTGATTTGCTGTACCCCATTATCTCTTATTACCCCAATAACAGAAGCATGATCTGACCCACCATCTGAAAAGGACTCAAGAACATCCCCTTTATTTCTTCTGCCTTCTTCTGAACAGTTGACATGAAACTGTTCGTTCTCTGAAATCAAAAAGGTCATCCAAAAAATAACATACCGGTATGTTCACTGGAACACAAAAACAATACATTGTTTCTGAAACTGTTCATTGTTGATCAATTATTTCAAAAGACAACAACCGAAAAACCGAGTGAATGTTGTTTTACACATTAGTCAGTCATATTCCTGCTGCATATCATGACAAGCCGGGGGTGTCATTGATTGGAAATCTTAGGATGAATATATCAATTCAAAAACATAACTATATCAGTATATCAATCAATAAATAAATAAACAAAGACCATTGAACAAATAACATATGTTTTTCATCTATTTCATATTTCAAAAGTCTACACATTCAGATAAACATCTGTCACGAAATCGTTAAATTTCATCTTGTAATTATCCCTAACATGAAAAAATATTTCCTTTTGTGTATTTTTTCTTTGATCAGCTCCACGAACATCGACATCAAAACCCAACCAGTAGCTTGCGATACTGTAATTTTTATGTGTACAGCATATTGTCACACTGCCAAAGTAGTAGTAATGTTCTCATGAGTGAGTGAGTGAGTGAGTGAGTGAGTGAGTGAGTGAGTGAGTGAGTATGGTTTTACGCCGCTTTTAGCAATATTCCAGCAATATCACGGCGGGGGACACCACAAATGGCCTTCACACATTGTACCCATGTTGGGAATCGAACCCGGGTCTTCGGCGTGATGAGCAAACGCTTTAACCACTAGGCTACCCGACCGCCCCTTTTCATAATGATACAAAGCAATCTGTAAATGCTCGCACTGAAACACTTGCACTCGGTCACACTGCTATTTCAGAATAAGCGTGTTTGTTTACAATCACGCGAAGGGTCAGATCACATGATATGCAAATGTGCTTGTGACAGTAGTGTCATGTTATGTCATCACTGCACGGGGGTGTGTTGAGAGTGATCACCTTCCTCGTCCAGCTGAAGGCGGAGATGATAGGATTGTCCTGGAGGGGTATCTTGCCACTGCCATCCCGGAACACAGACGATGTTGTAGAAATCAGGGAGGAATCTGAAATAGTAAATGAATGCCATTTTACACCCTTTTGAAAAGCATATTTTCTTTTGCAACAGCATGTAAACTATGTATGACAGGAAGGTCTCTCAGAGATTTAAACCCATAACCGGCAGATCCTGTCAAGGCTAAGGGATGCAACTCTGCACCATGCCAAGAGATAGGGACAAGTTGGAAGTTTAAGCTCATCATCATCATTCAATGTACTGTCTGTGATGGTGCAGGCCTATGTGTTACTTCAGTTCTCCATGTTTAATCAATGTAATCAGTTTATTTCAAGCAGACGACAGAAGCAAGAAGGGAGTTGCTTCATCATGTTTTGTTTGTTTATTTGATTATTTGTTTGTTGTTTAACGCCACACTCAGCATGTTCCAGCTATATGACGGCGGCCTGTTAATAATCAAGTCTGGACTATACAATCCAGTCACTGAAATCATGAGCATCGATCCACGCAATTGGGACACGATGACATGCATCAACCAAGTCAGCGAGCCTGACCACCCGATCCCATTAGTCGCCTCTTACGACAAGCATAGTCGCATTTTATGGCAAGCATGGGTTGCTGAAGACCTGTTCTACCCCGGATCTTCATGGGTTGCTTCATCATGTTTAAGTGAGGACTGGGAAATCAGGGATTTGTGACATCACTCAGCACCTTATCTCGATGAAGGACTGAGAGTGAGAGAAATTCTGTACAGTCATGGATTAAACCGTATCTGTCTGTTGATTACCTGGTTGGGTTTCATCGTCTGTAACCATGGCAACAGCCTTGTTAATGTGAGAGGTGTCATGAGGACAGTTAAGAAGGCTCTCCGAGTCATACTTTGGGTGCTGGGCAGCCGAGGGGAACTGGACTTTGGGCCGGTCAACCTGAAGTACAATTCAGCTTTCATTCATTCATTTTCACAAATGCATTAAATAACCGACAGTGTTGACAATTTGCCTGGATGTGCTTGAAACGTTTCAAGTTACTTCCACATGATCGAAAAGATCGGAGAGTGAACGGAAGGTCCAAACAACCAAGCAATCAAATGCAATACTTGGAGAGAAAAGTGCTAAGTAAGCAATTGTGTTTATTTTTGTTACGCGTGATCTAGTTTTACTGAACCTATGGAAAAACAGCAAAATGACGATAACCAACACTCATTACGACAACAAAAACATAAGTGCACAGTGAAATTACAAGATCAAATCAAATCAAATCAAATCACACCAAAATTGTAAGCGTGACAACCGTCATCACTCGACTACACTTGCTAGAACCAGTGGGCAAATGTGCTGTTACACCATATTACAGCTTAACACATATAATATTGTCAGAATATAAGAAAACCGTAGGTAAAGTCAATTCATACTATTCAAAGTCTCTTCTAATGAGTGAGTGTGTATGGTTTTATGCCGCTTTTAGCAATATTCCAGCAATATCACGGTGGGGGACACCAGAAATGGGCTTCACACATTGTACCCCTGTCGGGAATCGAACCCGGGTCTTCGGCATGACGAGCGAACGCTTTAAGCACTGGGCTACCCGATCGCCCCCTCTCCTAATGAGACAAACATTTTGTGAAAGTGAGTGGATTTACTTTGCAACCACAATACATTAGTGTCGAGTTCAGGATCACTATCATCATCACCATAAGACTGATGACGAACAATCATATCCTAATATATATCATGTCTTGTGACACAGAAAAATTCAAAGCCTTGGCATGTGTTACAAGAAGGGAGAATAAGGATGAAATACTCATATCCACTGACACTATGACAAGGCAAGTTATGTGCAAGATATGCTCCGGAAAGGAGGACTACCGCCATTTTCAGTCTAAGTCAAAGTCGTTGCCATGGAAACTCGAATTTTTTTTAATTTTTTTTTTAAATCCTCAAATTTCAAAAGGCACCAGTTCACAACTAGACCTATCTATGTGCCAAGTTTGGTTGAGATATCACTCATGGTTTTGGAGTTCTGATCCGGAAACGAAATGTGCTGGACAGACGACAGCACCCATTCCTATATCCACCTTCCACTTCGTGGCAGGGGACAATAGAAATGAGTAAGTTGTGTTTTGAACAGCAATCCAGTTATATCATGGTGTCAGCTTAATGTAAGAGGACAGCCTGAAGTGATGCAGGTCTTCGACGTATACCACTTTGGCAAAACCAATGAGCACGAGTATTGAGTATGGTCAGAGCAAACCGGGATTCAAACTGATCGGTTCCTGGCACGCATAAGGGATGCAACTCTGCACAATGAACTGTGGCTCCTTAGACGACTGTTCCACCTGTGCCCCTACTGGAAATTTGAGGTGACTGACCTTGACAAGGGAGACACTTCTGGCCTCCATGATGATGCTGTGAATCTCGGACAGGTTCTGTCGGACGAGGGGGGGTATCGGCCTGCAGCATGCCAACACACCCTGCTGTTCACGGGGCAGCACCTGGGCCGACTGCAGCAGCATGTGGTTGGGGAACACATACCTACAACACACAGAATCTGTCAACACCAAGATCCATTGCAGTCAATCAATGTTTAATAGTGAAACATCAACTTGAATACAGTACTGGACTTTCTTGTCCGTTAATTGATCACGTAACAAAGGACACACCGAAAAAAGTACAAAACAGCTTCTGTCAACTCATAGTCAAATGATCTAGATACATACAGTCAAGTCTCGTTAATCCGACAATCGGCTTTATCCGACACTAATGATGGGAACCGATTAAATCAGTGCTATTTAGACCCGTTAATCCGACAGTCTCGCACTCCGACTCCGACACACCTAATTTGCAACGAATTACCAAAATCACTCATTAATCAGTCTTGTTAATCCGACACAGTGATAAGCGTACTCCGTGGTCATCTGCCCACAAGTACACAGCCCGTGTTTTGATGCGAGACGAATCGGCTGGTAGCTACATATTACAACGGCTGCAGAGAGAAACTTGCTTAACAATAAACAATTAATGCTTTAAATAAAGAAAACAGTATAATATACAAAGCTTAGATTACCTCAATCTTATTAAAATCAGATACAAGTTCTTGCTATCGACGATGGCATCCCATTACAAGTCACGTCAGAACAACCTTGACCTACCAATGAAATGACCAACAGGAAGTCGACGTTAGCAACTTAGAAAGCAGCTTTCTTAGCTTTGGGTACGAGTTTCAAAGTTGCGACTTTAATTCCAGACTATGCTAGTATTTTGAATCAGTCATACAGTCCGTATGAATATTTATTTTATATTTTTTATTACGTGTTTGAATTCTTATGTATCATGTAGTTGTCCGATTTTCGATCACGAACGTTGATACTACTAAATTTCGTTTATCCGACATACTCGTTAATCCGACATAATTATATGCAACCATCGATGTCGGAATAACGGGACTTGACTGTATATGTACCCACAGTTCCCAGTATCAGGTACATTAACGTGACATCTCGATCAGTAAACAAGGTCTACATTTTCTGATTACCCGTTGGTTACCGACAGAGAAAGGAAGATAAGCAGTATGCAGATGGGATGCAGAGCTCCAGATAAGCTTTTGGTGTTGTGGGTATTTTACCCATGCATTTTAAAATCATTGGGTATCAGTAATTCTATCTGGGTATTCAAATTTCTGTTACCCACTAGTTTTTACACATGTGGGTATTTAAGTTAAATATTTAAAAACACTATTCATCTAGTCCCTGTAAACTGGTGTCATGTGGGTTCGAGAGCTTAAAAGGACTAAAAAATACCACGATACTTCCACAAGAAAGTGTGATGGCAAATGACCATGATGTAACTGTCATCGTGGAGTTTGGCAAGGTTGACGGAATGCCCATTTATAATTTCAAAATAAGTTGCTGATTTGCTAATCGAATACGCAGGGTTACTTCACAATATTTTGATGATACGCACTAGTTTTATTTTTGTAGCGTATCTGTAATGTTCGTTGCGTATTTGATACGCTTGGATTGTATTTTACTGCGTATTTCTGCATTTCTGATGCATATTTTACGCAGATACGCAGTTTATCTGGAGCTCTGGGATGGGATATCTGTAATTTCTTGTTGAGCAGAAATATGGACTATTAACTTAACAATCATTTTAGGTTATGCATGTAATTGTCGAGACAGAATCCTTAACGACACTGCAGGCTTCTCTAGGTCATGCACTGTAACCATAAGGGTGTTCCACAAAGTGATCTTTGCGTGTAGGTGTTTCTAACTCCCACACTCCACCCTAGACTTATGAGAGTCGTAACACTGAGATTGTTTTGTGGAACGGGACCCTGATCCCCATATTAGTCAGCGAGTACAATCCCATGAAACAACAGGGACAGGTCTGCCCCAGAGTTGCCACAGGGCCAGCACTGACTGAGTGAGTGAGTAAGTATGGTTTTATGCCGCTTTTAGCAATATTCCAGCAATATCACAACGGGGGACACCAGAAATGGGCTTCACACATTGTACCCATGTCGTGAATCGAACCCGGGTCTTCGGCCTGACGAGCAAACGCTTTAACCACTGCTACCCGACCGCCCCCGAGCACTGACTGATGACGTTCACCTACCAGGGACTCTCTTCCTCCTGTCTGGCAATCTTATTCCGCCAGGCATACAGATCCCGGAGAGCCTGGTGCTGCTGGGAGTTGAACAGTTTCTTACTCTTCCTGTACAGGTCCAGGTACTGGCTCTCCTCAAACACGGGCTTCCTGTACACCTGCAGAAACACATAGACAGCTAGTTAGAGGGGCTTTTATGCCACAGTATTCAGTGTTAACAAGGCGTGTCAGTTTATTGTAGGAGAAACGCTCAATGTAACACAGGTTACACTTTGGTGGAGCATGTGGGCACTGTTGTCAATCAACCAATCAGGACCTACCCTGGCACAGATGCGGACACTGTTGTGTCAATCAACCAACAGGACCTACCCTGGCACAAATGCGGACACTGTTGTCAATCAACCAATCCGGACCTACCCTGGCACAGATGCGGACACTGTTGTCAATCAACCAATCAGGACCTACCCTGGCACAGATGCGGACACTGTTGTCAATCAACCAATCCGGACCTACCCTGGCACAGATGCGGACACTGTTGTCAATCAACCAATCAGGACCTACCCTGGCACAGATGCGGACTCTGTTGTGTCAATCAACCAACAGGACCTACCCTGGCACAGATGCGGACACTGTTGTCAATCAACCAATCAGGACCTACCCTGACACAGATGCGGACACTGTTGTCAATCAACCAATCAGGACCTACCCTGGCACAGATGCGGACACTGTTGTGTCAATCAACCAACAGGACCTACCCTGGTACAGATGCTGGCATGTTGTCAATCAACCAATCCGGACCTACCCTGGCACAGATGCTGGCATTGTTGTGTCAATCAACCAACAGGACCTACGCTGACACAGATGCGGACACTTTTGTGTCAATCAACCAATCAGGACCTACCCTGGCACAGATGCTGGCACTGTTGTGTCAATCAACCAATCAGGACCTACCCTGGCACAGATGCTGGCACTGTTGTGTCAATCAACCAATCAGGACCTACCCTGACACAGATGCGGACACTGTTGTGTCAATCAACCAATCAGGACCTACTCTATCACTGATGCGGACACTGTTGTGTCAATCAACCAATCAGAACCTACCCTATCACTGATGCGGACACTGTTGTGTCAATCAACCAATCAGGACCTACCCTATCACTGATGCACACTGTTGTGTCAATCAACCATCAGAACCTACCCTGGCACAGATGTGCACGCTTTTAGACAGGACATGGTGGAGAAGGTTCTTCTGCTCATTGCCCTTCTGAAGCAGTTCGTTCTTCATCTTGTCATAGATGTACAGTAGGTAGTGTGTGTCAGTCCTTGCATACTTCACCATTAGCTCTGGCAATGGCCTGAGGAAAGTACCAGAAGCTTTCTTTACTAAAATCAGGCATTAACACCTCTTGTCTCAGCTGTGTAGAATTACCTCCAGTGGAAATCATCCTTTATGCTTTAGCTACCATAAACAACTGATAACAACAGAAAATAGGAAAATTGCTTTGAATACACAAAACATATGAAAAATACAACTGCTAGACAGTTTCCAAATTTGTCTTTTCCCTAATATTTTATAAAGCATATAACATTATAAGGACTTAATCAATTTACTGTGTGTACTTTCCTTGAGTGATCAATCTCATTAAAATCAGATCTTAGTTTTCGCTACCGCTAAACAAAGATCTGAGGACATCCCATTACGGGTCACGTCAGAACGACCTTTCGCGAATTTTGACCGACCAATGAAATGACTGACAAGAAATCGACATTTGCCAATCAGAAGGCAGCTTTCTCGAGCTTTAAGACACTAGTTTCAAACTGGTGACTACGCTTCGAAACATATTTTGACATATTCTCGATTCAAAAAAATTTCAAACTGATAAGAAGAATATTCTGGAATGGCTTATAGATGGCCTAGATTGTATGGATATAATCATAAAACCCGTAACTGTCGTTCGGAATACTCCGTGTTAAATATTTTGTGGTTGCATGATTAGAAAACACATTCTGACTTGTCACTTTCATGATCTGGTAAGCGACGCTCTGATTGGTTGGATGAAAGGTCATTCTGACGTGAACCTTAATGGGATGTCCCCAGATCTTTGTTTAGCGACAGCGATAACTAAGATCTGATTATAATGAGATTGCTCGAGCGTTTGGACCCTAATATCAATGTCAATTAGATTCCTTTCTTCCTTTAATTATTATATTAACTCTACCCCATTGATATTGCAAAAGACTTTTTGATTGGCTGCTGATATCACATGATTTACCTGATCCTCCAATCAGCAAGCTGATACTTCTTGTCTGTTGTCACCTGACAGTACACATTCAGGAGATGAGCCAGTGATGCTCTAGAATGTTCCAGAGTCCGAGCTGCCTCTCCTGTGTCAAACATGTTGACCACATACAAGTTGAAGTCACGTTGAAGCCATTCAATGTCAGATTGAGCACCATGGAATACCTACAAGTAGAGGGACTGAGCGAGTGAGAAAATATACTAATAGATGCAGTAAGCAATATTACAGATATATCATATATATATATATATATATATCATGGATGGCTATAGATAATTCAGCCCAGTGCCCCAGGTCAAAAAGTGTAACCTCATTAGTCAGCTTTTACAACAAGAATGGGATACTTGAGACCTATTCTGCCCTGAAATAACAAGAGGGCATCTTACCTTTTCTGCCCTGAAATACCCACGGGGCATCTAACCTATTCTGCCCTGAAATACCCAGGGGGCATCTAACCTTTAATGCCCTGAAATACCCACGGGGCATCTAACCTTTTATGCCCTGAAATACCCAGGGGGCATCTAACCTATTCTGCCCTGAAATACCCAGGGGGCATCTCCTCTTCTGCCCTGAAATACCCAGGGGGGCATCTAACCTATTCTGCCCTGAAATACCCAGGGGGCATCTAACCTTTAATGCCCTGAAATACCCACGGGGCATCTAACCTTTTATGCCCTGAAATACCCAGGGGGCATCTAACCTATTCTGCCCTGAAATACCCAGGGGGCATCTCCTCTTCTGCCCTGAAATACCCAGGGGGCATCTAACCTTTTGTGCACTGAAATACCCAGGGGGCATCTAACCTATTCTGCCCTAAAATACCCAGGGGGCATCTAACCTATTCTGCCCTGAAATACCCAGGGGGCATCTAACCTATTCTGCCCTGAAATACCCAGGGGGCATCTAACCTATTCTGCCCTAAAATTCCCAGGGGGCATCTAACCTATTCTGCCCTAAAATACCCAGGGGGCATCTCCTCTTCTGCCCTGAAATACCCAGGGGGCATCTAACCTTTTATGCCCTGAAATACCCAGGGGGCTTCTAACCTATTCTGCCCTGAAATACCCAGGGGGCATCTCCTCTTCTGCCCTGAAATACCCAGGGGGCATCTAACCTTTTATGCCCTGAAATACCCAAGGGGCATCCTACCTATTCTGCCCTGAAATACCCAGGGGGCATCTAACCTATTCTGCCCTAAAATACCCAGGGGGCATCTCCTCTTCTGCCCTGAAATACCCAGGGGGCATCTAACCTTTTATGCCCTGAAATACCCAGGGGGCTTCTAACCTATTCTGCCCTGAAATACCCAGGGGGCATCTAACCTATTCTGCCCTGAAATACCCAGGGGGCATCTAACCTATTCTGCCCTGAAATACCCAGGGGGCATCTAACCTTTTATGCCCTGAAATACCCAGGGGGCATCCTACCTATTCTGCCCTGAAATACCCAGGGGGCATCTAACCTATTCTGCCCTGAAATACCCACGGGGCATCTCCTCTTCTGCCCTGAAATACCCACGGGGCATCTAACCTTTTCTGCCCTGAAATACCCACGGGGCATCTAACCTATTCTGCCCTGAAATACCCACGGGGCATCTAACCTATTCTGCCCTGAAATACCCAGGGGCATCTAACCTATTCTGCCCTGAAATGCCCTGAGATCCCAACTAGCTCCAGTATTAAGGATATAGTCATCCTTACCTTTACAGTGTTTGGGTCTGTGAACACTTCATTAAGGATGTGCATGTTATGTCGGAGCTCCAGTGTGTCAATGATGTAGTCCTGTTCTCGTGTCGACACCTGCATCAGGCACGTCAGCCCCTGAAAACTCCTGTACGTGTGAGCCTGGAAAAAATCAAACCTCATTATATAAACTGTTTGAGATTCCCTGTGTTGGTTCAAAGTAGAAAAAGAGGTGAGAGGAAAATGGTATCTAATGTTGAGTTCAAGATTACTGCGCTTCTTTTAACATGTGGTGCTGTGCTGTGCGTGGCTGCTTGTACTAATCTGGACTACTGCCGGTCTTAAAGTGCCAGCCGACTGACGTATACCATGCCACTGTTTAAAATGTACACACCACTCAGACACAGTACACATCTCTTAATGTCTTTTGGTATGACGCACCCGAGGATCGAACCACCGAGCTGCCTTTCTCTTGGGCAGATGCTTTATCCACTTGACCATGGTGGCAGTCAGTACAATAGAAATATATTTAATTCTAAATACGACAGGAATAATATTACCTGTACATCCTAGAGGGTGTATTTTGTACCCAGAATGATCAACTTGCTCACATACTAATACAAGAAATTTGTCACCATTTGCAGAAGATAAACACAGTTATTTGACAAGAAACCACATTCTCACCTTAAGCTATCTTAAACATGTTAAAGCCCTGTTGTGATAGATGTTTTTCAGAATACAAGCATTATGTAAGAGGTGGTTAAGTAAGTACGTGTTAATTTAAGCCGTAGTCAGCAATATTTCAGCCACATCAAAGACTCCTGTATACATAATAACGACACCCCTGAGGTAAGATAAACAAGAGTTTGCCACTAACGCGGCTATATCCCCCGCCCCTGTTGCAGAATTTGAAATAATTAAATCTAAAAAAAACCGTAATCTTTTTTTAACCGAGGTGGAAGTTGTCATGGAAATTGTAAAAAAAAGTCCATCTTGTTGCCATGGAAACGTAAAAAACTAAAAATTCTAAAATTTCTAAATAGCAAAAGGCACCAGTTCAGCATGTACCTGACAGACCTGCAAAGTTTGATGAACAAATATTGAACGGTTTATGAGTTATGCTCCGGAAACTAACCCTACCCTCACAGAACCTAAGACCATCTTGTCGCCATGGAAACGTAAAATATAAAAATTTCTAAAATTTCTAAATAGCAAAAGGCACCAGTTCAGCATGTACCTGACAGACCTGCAAAGTTTGATGAAAAAATATTGAGTGGTTTATGAGTTATGCTCCGGGAACGAAATGTGACGGATGGAGGGACGTATGGACAGACAGAGCCCGTTTCTATAACCATTCTATAAATATGTGCCAGGTCAGACATCGGAACCATCAAATGAGAGAATCTCTTGAACATGTGATATGCTCACCTCCAGGTCAATAGCCAATGCCGGAACAGTCTTCAGATGGTCACACAGCTTCTTCAGCTCAGACTCTGTGTCAATGAGGGTCAGAGGTGTCGAGTCTATGGGACGAGGCTCCTGGAAGTACAAAAAAGATGAGTTCAGTATGGTAACTACTGAATAATAGAGTCTGAACCAGACAATCCAGTAATTGATACAATGAGCAACCATCCATGCTATCAGGTGCATGGACACATCATCATCAAAGCCTGACGATCTGATCCGTAAGTCACCTCTACCCATTAGCACTGCTTACTGGGTACCAAGTCTAACCCAGGTGCAGAATGGGTACCCGAGAGGTGATAATGGTAGAATGACTGATAACTAAATTATTATTTCTTAAAGGTTGGTTGGTTGTTCGTTGTTTTACGTTGCACTCAGCAATATTCCAGCTGTATGACAGCAGTCTGTAAATAATCAAGTCTGGACCAGACACTCGAGTGATCGATCGCAATTGGGATCGACAACATGCATCAACCAAGTCAGCGAGTCTGACCACCCGATCCCGTTAGTCGCCTTTTACGACAAGCACAGTCGCCTTTTATGGCAAGCATTGGTTGCTGAAGACCTATTCTACCCCGGGTCAGATGAAACACGGTGCTTTCGTCACTTTTGCTGTCAAAATTGTATACCGTATCGCAGGAAATGACTATTGCTCCAGGTTCACTGGTTTGTCTTGCAACGATTCAGTCATTTATTTCCCGTAGAAGGCGGCGTGTTTGCCATGTGCAGCAGCCAGAAAATGTTGACGAGTAACCAGAAGCGTATTCTACACTCTAAATTAAAGCTGCTATTTGGGCACCAGAAATAGTTAAAAATTCGCCTATTCTACCCCGGATCTTCACGGGTCATTTCCTAAAGGAGTTTGAGTTGGTATGGATAACTGCTTTCAGCAACCACATCGCTGAGGGCGTACCAATAATGGACACCCACTGCACCCATGGTGGGAATACAACCTAATGTTTTCAGCCTGATCTGCAAATGCTTTAATCTCTCTGCTATTCCAATGCAACCACCTACTGTCCAGATCTCCTTAGACGTTGCCTGGTAACCGACACATACCTGCACTTCTGTCGCCATCAAATGCTGGGGGTTATACTGAAGGTGATCAAGCTCATATTGGTAGGGATGTGGGTAGCTGAAATAAAGTAAATAAGTGAGTGAGTGAGTGAGTTGGGTTTAATGCCGCTTTTAACAGTATTCCAGTTATATCGCGGCATGTCAACTTAATGTAGGAGGAAAGCCCGAAGTGATGCAGGTCTCAGGCGTTTACCACTTCGGTGAAACCCACGAGCACGGGTATGGTGCTGACAAACCTAGAAACATAATCGGGGCGAACCGGGATTCGAACCCACAATCATAGGTTTCTGGCGTGGCCAAGGGACGCAACTCTGCACAGCGAATCGCAGCGCCTTAGACGACTGGGCCACCCGTGCCCCCTACAGTAAATAAACTTCTGCCAAGTCCATTAACTAATTTCAGTAAGAAACAAAGTGCAGGTGAAGGTGTTATGAGAGCTTTTTTCTTTACTTCATATTTATCTTAAAGTACACCAGTACTTAAAAATAATGTCTTTATTTTCACAATTGTTCATACAATTTATTAAACATGTTGAAGGAAATCTGTAAAAGAATTAGTTTAAAAAATGAGTCTGATCACACAGACAACCTTAGCTTTAATGTATGCCACAAAAGTATATTGCATAATGAGCCTGTTGTCACAAGGTGATATAACTCAACTTACACAAATGTCGGACTCTCCATATCAAGCGGTGTGATTTTCTCCGGTAACCGCAAACTGTCTGTTAAAAGAAAACATTGATAATTTCATGTACAAAGTTTACAAATAGGAAATAGAGATTATAAGCTGAGGAGTTTCAGTATTGTAAAGATCATACATTAGGAATATAAATGGTATTAAAGTTAGTCATTTATACATTTATTACATCAAGAGTGAGTCAGTGAGTGAGTTGGGTTTAACGCCGCTTTTAACAGTATTCTAGTTATATCGCAGCGTGTCAGCTTAATGTGGGTGGAAAGCCTGAAGTGATGCAGGTCTCAGACGTTTACCACCTCGATGGAACCCACGGTTTGGGTATGGTGCTGACAAACCTAGAAACATAATCAGGGCAAACAGGGATTCAAACCCACAATCATAGGTTTCTGGAATCTTGTTCACCCATGCCCCCAACAGATCAAGATACAAAACCAACAGACATTGCCTCTCGTGAGCACTATACCATTTCACACAGTCAAGAGGACTAGTTTAAACCTTTGCTGCCATGGTGACAACCAACCTACCTGCAAGAGACTGTTGAGCATTCAGCTTGTGTTTAATCTGTGGGATGAAGGGCCGGTTGCTGTTGTCTATCTTCACTTTAAACTTGAGCTGGGGACGTTCAATGTTCCGTGCCGCCAGCAGTCTGTATGTGTTGTCCCCTGCTGTGCTCTTCTCCTGAAATAGTGAAAGGAGTGAATGTTGTTTTACGCCACAGTCAGCAATGTGACAGCTGTTGATTGAAGAATGTTAACCTGGAAAGAAATGTCTGTTAATAGATGGGTTTTTTAGTAGAAACTGGTACTGGCTGATACAAATGTTTTGCATCAATACGCGGGGCCCAATGGTGGGTCACAAGCCTGTTGTCAGTAAAGGTTTGGGCCAATAGTCAGTAGTCAATATACTTCTGGCTTTGTCAGTAAAAACACTACAAACCGGAATCTAAAATGCAAAATCATCTCTACGTGAATGTGGATTGTCAGTCTGTCTGGAGGAAAATATATGGACAGGTAGTTCTGATTTCATATTATTACTGTCATTTGTGTTTGGCAAATACCTAGTCATCTAGTCATGTAAGACTTCTACAAGATTTTAACATGATTAATATGAAAAACAATAAAGTTTCAAATTACGCACACCAGATTTTTTACGAACATTTTACATAAATTTTTTACAGTTTAACATGGATACCCCACTCAGACACAGTACATGTTCCGCTGATGTGATTCCAGACTGACCACAACCCACGATTAAAGTTTAATGTTATATTCTGATTTCTGAGTCAGCATTATTGGCATTCATCAAGTGAGTGAGTATGGTCTTAGGCTGCTTTTAGCAATATTCCAGCAATATCACAGCAGAGGACACCAGAAATGGGCTTCACACATTGTACCCACATCGGGAATCGAACCCAGGTCTTCGGCATGATGAGCGAACGCTTTAACCACTAGGCTACCCAACCGCCCCGGCATTCATCAAAGTAACCATGGAAAGTGTTCCTACCTTTTTGTTCCAACTAGCTGCTGTTGATGTCCTTGCTGTGGCTGTGGCAAACACCAAGTCAGCCTCCGGTTTCTTGATGCCAGAGGCTTCATCCAGGCTCGAACCCTGATGTGAAAAAAAATTCAGTTTGTCAATGGTAGAGGTACAAATGTCAAAAACGGTGCCAATTTACACAAAGCTTGAACAAGTGTGTGCACAAATACTTCTACAACAATAACTTCCCAGACCATTTATTTCATCATTGCCACAAAAAATACCTGTAGACAACAATATGAAATCAGTGACATCATTCAGTGAAATGATACAACACAAGCCCCGCCCATTCTTTTATTAGCCAATCACGCAGCAGTATTCCATTAGTGGGTGTGGTTTATGTTTTTTCGGATTATGGAAACATAAATGCCAAAATATATGAGCCTATCAAGCCATGGAACAATTTGCCATTTATTTATAATAAACTTACAATCATGATAAATTCAGCACCTAGATCACGAACTGAACATTTGACTGTAAAGCGAAGTGACTGACTGAAGCATTGTTCATCAAAAACTCTAAGCAAGTTTTTGTCCTGTGACATATGAAAAGGGCCATTTAACAAAGACTTTTCAATACTTACAACTCTCTCAAGAATCTGATCATTAGCATCCATGACAGCATCAAACTTGTCCTCAAACTCAATAACATCACTGTTGGTCGATATTTTGGCCTTGACACTCTGTTGGCGTAGGATGCTCTCTATCCTGAAATATTGTATCCAAAACATGATTAAGTATGCAAATAATTATTAGGGGAACACAAAAAACATGAAGAAAGATGATTTCTGCCAAACCCATTAGCATTAACATGATTAACTGACCTGTGAAGACCCGGAGTCTTCACGGGTCTCATGTTGATGACACGTAATCCCCCAAATCACAGACCCTGACCACCCGATCTCAATTCAGTCGGCTCTCACAACAAGCATGAGGTAAGATGATATAACTTGCAATATAAATGATAAGAAGCAAGGTCTTACAGCTGCAAGATTCTCCTGCCCTCAATGTCCAGCACATCCTTGACCGATCTGAATGTCGAGTAGAAGTCATAGTCGTCGCCTGTCGGTAGACTATTGGAGGACCGCGTGGCCTGTAGAACACTTTTCAAGACTTTCTGAAAAAAAAGGGTAAGGGCATATACATATGCGTTACAGAAGTGGAATGAGTGAGTGAGTGAGTATGGTTTAACACCGCTTTTAGCAATTTTTCAGCAATATCACTGCGGGGGACACCAGAAATGGGCATCACACATTGTACCCATGTCGGGAATCGAACCAGGGTCTTCGTCGTGACAAGCGAAAGCTTTAACCAGGGGCTACCCGATCACCCGACAGAAGTGGAATGATTCTTAGGCTCAGGACCAAATCCATAAAGCTAAATGTACACTCTATTACAAAAATACTAATCGCCATTCAACATGAGTAGAAACACATATTATCTGCAGTGTTCATGTTGTATTCCTGGGTGATTTCCCAATCCTGTTTGGGAGGAGTTCTCCTTATTGGACATGGATATGGAGGTGACAATGTTTGAAGCTGACCAAAATGTATTAGAGGTCCAAAGGACCAGTACATTGAAAAATCCTGTTGGACCTCACCATGCTCATGATGCTCAACAAGATGGGACAATCATGCTGACCAAAAATGGTTTACAATGGTATTCTACAGGCTACAATGTTTAGTATAGAAACCACTAAAGAAGGTAACCATTGTACCATGCAGGATTGTTTATGTTGCTTGTTTTGCAAAGAGTTCAGAGTCAATCTATCACTGATTTTAAAACTGTACAAACTCAAATTACTTTGTTCGTCCCCAAAGACTAGACCACCGAACTATAATTTTTTTTTATGTTTACTGGTCCTGAAGAAAATATACAAGACTCGGACCAGTGGACTAGTTTTAGTGTCAATCACTGGATGATCTGAACATGCTGAACCACATGCATCTTCCCAAATCAAGGGAGTTAACAGAGTATATAAGTTCAGTTTCCACCCTTGCCGAACTAGCCTGGAACTAGGAGTTATATTTTGGCTGGACTAACAAGTCTATGCATAGTCCAATCAAAATTGCATAACAAAATCAACATTCGGCTCGTAAACTGCTGTGCAGATTTCAGTTGATTGCAGGATTTGCAAAGCATGTTTACCATCAACATGCCGTCAACAGAAATTATTCCAAATCTGTTCATGTTTTTAATCAAGGTGCTCATGTGATTTGATGCACTTCGCAAAGTAAGACCCGATTTATTACAATATGGATTTTAATTATCAATCAGATCGTCTTCACTGGCGCTGCCATTTTGTTTGAAGCAAATACAAGTGAGGTGAGGTGAGGTGAAATGGGGTTTAAGGTCGCGTCCAAGTTTATTGCACTTATATAGCGATGTGCATGCACGTGTATGTGTGTGTGTGTGGCTGCTTGTACTAGTCCGGACTGATGCCGATTTATAGTGCTAGCCCACTGAGATACCATGCCGCAGTTTAACATGAATACCCCACTCAGACACAGTATACTGACTCCGAGCCGACCAGTCCTTGTTGTAGCCCTTTAATGCCGAGCGCCAGACAGGGTAACAACAAGTACCATATTTTAACGTCTTTTGGTATGACGCGGCTGGGGATCGAACCCCCGACCTTCCGCTCTCTGGGCGGACGCTCTACCATTAGATCACGGAGGCTGTCCAAATGCAAGTGATATGAGAAGTGGAACCTGATTGGTCAACAGGAGGGATATAGAAGGGAAATTATTCATAATAGCCACTGGTTGAACTGTGATCGAGACTAGAAATACCAGCCAAGCTCAGCAAGGGTGGAAACTGGACTATTACAGTCAGTTAACTCCCTTGCCTCGGGAAGATGTGTCACCTGTGACATATCATGGCTAACTGTAGTAGATGGGTGTATGTAAGTTCGTAACCCAAACAAGTTTGTACACCTAGAAATGAATTTTTTTTTAACCCAAAATCAAGTGTAATATCATAACCCTATGCAAAAAGCAATGAATTAGATCTAAACAACATATAATATAAAGGCATAGGGGCCATCACTCTTAAACAAGAACAACATATGAGGTTTATCTTAAAGAAAACACTGTTTCAATTTACAATTACTTTTGGGCTCCTTGATCCAAGCAGCTGTTGAGATGGAGATTGGCGATATTTATCTGACAATAATACCAGGTGTACATGGTGTAGGTACAAAATACTCAAAACAATGCCATTATCAGTTTATGTATCTTATGCAATTTTGATGTTCGGACGTGACAATAAGAACTTCAGCGTGAAAAATGTGATGGTTGGCAACACTGTTTATGAAATATTTAAGCAAATGATGGCTGTCTTAATGGCATGATTGCGTGGTGATAAATTTGTTTTTTAAAATCTCAACAGCATCTATTTTGTCCTTTATCCCAGTGTGACTAATAGACTGTTCCGTTGTTCATCTTGTCAATATAATTGTGATAATATAATATTGTGTCTCGCCTGATTTTGAGTCCCTCGACGACAGTTGAGTTTAAAATAGATGCACAACATGATCCGTCACATGATATTACAAACAGGAAGTTTACAAACAGCAGCCGTGTATCTTAATTCCTAACATAACTTCAGCGGCAAATGGCGAACACTTTGATGTATTCAGTGGGCTTTGAACCGTCTTCCTTGATCAATAAATAAAGTGTGTATTGTTTAGGTGCTCCAAAAGAAGTGAGGCTCTCAAACTTGTTACATGGGGATAATGCAACGATAATATTATCGCATAAACAAATATAAGAGCTGGAAACCTAAAATTTGAAGCATATTGACTATATTGTGAGCACCCCTGATAATGGAGCCATTCCTAGTGTATAGATATGGCACCAGCAGCACCACTCTTAAAAGCCAGCATCTTCATTGTGGTCTCTGGATTATCTTATACCTCCCTTACTCATACTAAATCATGACACACATAGAAACATTGCATCCAAAAATAATGTTGTCTTATAAACGAGTGCTATCCAATATGTTTACGACTTTTCTGGTGGAACTGAAATTTAACTGTAACCCAACTGGGCCCACAGCCCCCTGAGGCAGGATAGTGGTATTACTGAAACACCGGAACCATATATATATAAATATATATGACGGCGGTCTGTAAATAATTGAGCCTGGACCAGAAAATCCAGTGATTGACATCATGAGCATCGATCCACGCAATTGGGATCGATGACATGCATCAACCACGTCAACGAGCCTGACCACCCGATCCCGTTAGTCGCCTCTTACGACAAGCATGGATTGCTGAAGACCATTTCTACCCCGGCTCTTCACGGGCCTGTGACTGGGGCCTAGATGTTTGGTTGACATCAGATTGAAGAGGTATCTATCCTCAGGTGAAAGCTATATTTTGGTACCTATGAAAAAGTGTATACCTGTGAATATTCATTGATGTCAGCATATCCCGGAATAATCGGTTGGCATTCACTATTGTCGTCTTTCACATCGTCGATGTCCATGCTTTCACGGGACGACGCCATTTTGATTTCAATATGTAAAGCTAATCTTTATCCAATCAGTTTCTTGTATAAAAGCTTCATTACAACCATCAAAGTGGGAATTATTTACATATATATTTTATATATCTAGAATCTATTTAGAGAATGTATTATCATTTATCAACCGATTTATACGAAACCAAAATAGTATTTATGAATCGAATCGTTGAAAGTCAAGGGCGGTAACAAAGTTAGAATTTAGTCTGAAATACTTTTTCAAACATTCTGACAACATGTGAGGAATGTGGCATTGTCCCCATTGTCTAAAACATACATTTAACTACCAAAAACAGACACGATAAGGTACTGTCATTTGTGAGATTTCATCTCAAAAATGTGTATTTGGTTTGTTGTTGGTAACCATGTACGTGTCACCTGTTTTCGAGGCCCTAAAATTCCCAAGTGTATTACAATTTTATAAATCATTTTAGTCAGTGGAAAATTAGAAAGATCCATGTTTTATACAGATTCTCACATGATTCATTTATGTGTATTAAGTTTTGTGCTGCAGTCATTCATGAAAGTTTGTGCCCGATTATGCAGGGTCAGTTTTACTAAACTGGAAAGTTTTACTTGCCCAGCTGAAGATATAATGCCCTTGTGATGTTAAAACAATTTTTGAGAAATGAGTAATTTGTAGTTGGAGCGGGCTAGCAGACTAGTGTTTTATCACTGTTATGCATGTCCAAAAGACTCTTTCAAGTCAACATCTGATTTATATATCCATGCAAAGGGCCATATGTAACTAATATAATAATAACAAACTCGCAGACAAGTTGTTTGGCGATTTTGTTTATTATCATGATTAGTTACATGGCCCTGTGATCCATGTCACACGTTTTCGAGCCTTACCTCTTTTCCATCCACAAAACAATACATGACCATGCGTTAATGACGTGATCAAGGTAGACACTTCAACGCCCACTGAAGACATCAATGTGTTTGCCACTTGCCGCTGGAGTTATGTTGCGAAATTAAGCTACACAAGGAAAGATATTCAATAGGCAATGAAAACATACCTCACAACTTACTTTTTCACGTATGCACATTTCCATCAAAACTGATCTAATCTCATTAACCACTTTAGAAGCTTCAAGTTGGTGTAATGATAATGACCATTGGTGGAGACCCGTGAAGATTCCGGGGTAGAATAGGTCTTCAGCAACCCATGCTTGCTGTAAAAGGCGACTATGCTTGTCATAAAAGGCAACTAACGGGATCAGGTGGTCAGGCTCGCTGACTTGGTTGATGCATGTCATCGATCCCAATTGCGTGGATCGATGCTCATGATGTCAATCACTGGATTGTCTGGTCCAGACTTGATTATTTACAGACCGCCGTCATATTGCTGTGTGCGGCGTTAAACAACAAAACAACCAACCAACCATTGGTGGAAAGGTAATCATATTTAGGACTTCTCAAGCACCACTTGATCTGTCTATTAACTGTAGATGTTGATAAACCTGAAGTCATCAACGGAACAATGAATTCGTTTGATTAAAATTGAAAGGTAAATGGCATTTTTTATATTCAAATTGAAAGAACTCATTTTTTTCTTCATAAAAATGGGTGCCATTAAGGTTTTTTTGCTTCAAACATTTTGGTTTCCATGGCAACGATATTTAAAAAGTTTTTCAGGATTTTGCATGTTTTGTTGTCAAAAATTGAGTGTAGAACCTGTGGATGGAACAACTGTAACTGAGATCCACATTTGTTTCAGATAGAATGAGCAAGCATCAACCATGGCAGCAGCAAAGGTGGAGGTCAAGCTAAACTGGGAACCAATTGTACCTCTAGGTCCAGAACTGGCATTTCACACTGGCTGCATCATCAAAAACTGTTTGTATCTACATGGTGGCATAACTACTCAAGGAAGTACACACCCATCAGGCAAATTTCACCGACTTAACCTATCTCAGCAAATTTGGGAAGTAGTGCATACTTCTGGAAGTCCAACACTCAGTCATCATGCCTGTGTAGCATTAAATGATCGATACGTTCTTCTCATTGGAGGCTGGAATGGCAAATCCCGAACTGGAACACTGTATGCCTACGATACAGCAGCTAATGTCTGGCTGTGTCCGGAACAAAGTGGCTTCCCGCATGACGCAGGACTCAGCTCCCATACTGCTAATCGTTTGGGTGATGGCAGCATCATGATTCTTGGGAGGGAGGGAAGCAGACGTACCCAAAGACGGACTGGGAATGCTTACTTACTACAAGGCAGTGTTGAAAAGGGATTTACTTTTTCTGAATACAGCAGGTCAACTACGTCACGATCTGGTCACACCACACACATCATAGGATCAAAACTTTATGTTATCGGTGGCAGAGATGATAACTTGATAGAGTTTCAAAACGGGTTCTCCGATGGGTCAATCGGCCCAGCATCATCTTTGAAAACTCTCAAAACTCTGAGTAAAGAGTTAAGACCCATGTCTAAATTACCATGTGGTCGTAGACATCATGTATCCATGTGTGGGCCTGACATCATATTTGTTCATGGTGGAGAAACGTTTGATGGCCGGAGTAGAGAACCTGTTGGTGAAATGTTCTATGTCAAGTTGAAACCAGAAATAACATTTTACAAACTGGGAGACTGTCAGGTTAAAAGAGCTGGGCACATTTGTTTCACTGATGGAGAGTATGTGTACATCCATGGGGGAATTACTGGTAAAACATCAGTGTGTGGAGATTTGCTCAAACTTGCTGTTTAACCTTGGTAAAAGTATATATGATGGGTTTGCTTCCTGAATCTATTGGTTGTATTCAGTTTTGGTCCAGCGTTAGTTGGTGGAGCAGTAGTCTGAAGTACTGTCATTTATTGTGCGGAGTCGTCTCCCTTTGATTGTGGGTTTGGAATCCCAGATTGACTATGGTCATGTGTCATGGTTTGGTAGAACCAGTGAGCTGGGGTACCGACTAAGTCATAAAAGTCCAAGACCAGTTTCACCTTGGGCTTCCCTCCAGATGAAATTGACACACTGTGATGCAACTTTAATACTGTTAACTCACCCCCAGTGGGCAAAACAGTGGTTTTCCCCAACAAAAATCATGACACAGCAAATCCTCCTTCGTAGATACATGTCGTTCACACGTACATCATTATTCCATAGAAATGAGAAAGAAAAACATTTTGGCTTTAGAGACATTATTGGGATTGACTAATTATTTCTCCCGTGACCTGTAACACATCACTTCTTAAAGCACAACATGTATAGCAGTCCAGAATTTCCATTACACCCTTTACACAGTGATGTTAACTTCAAAACCTTTTTGTGACGGTCAGTGAGGTGGGTGTTCTGCTCCTGTCAACAGTGTTTCAGTTATATCACAGCATGTCAGCATGATGTGTGCATCAGTTGTCAAGCAAAATGTTACCTTCGATTAAAAATGATCATTTCATATGTTAAAGAAGTCAATGCATTATCACCCTCTGTGACAAACACATTGTAACTTTTGTGACAAGAAAGCAATTTAAAAACTTGAAATGCCAAGTCAGAGAAAGAAAGGTGTGTGTGTGGTGTGTGTGGTGTGTGTGTTCATGTGTGTTCATGTGTGTTCATGTGTGTAAGTGCACAATATTTCTGCTTCTTGACAGATGCTACACAGACCTGTGACAGAAAGCATGAGCAAACATGGTGACATTGGTCCAGCCAGGTCACAAATTATGACCACCCAATCCTCTCATGGCAAACTTTTGTTGCTGGGACCAGCCTCTGAATCCCTGCCAGTCAGGTTGGCCAGTGATTGGCGTCAGCTTGACATGATGAAGACACTGTGACATCACAGATGAGTTCTGTTTTTGTTTGTTTGTTTTGTTTTTTTGGGGGGGGCACAATCTTTGTCTTCTGTGATATTGTTGTGATGTTAGCAAGTTTTCCAATAAACAAATTCATCACAAATGTCAACAATTTTCTTTATTCAGATTAACAAATTAAAACTCAAATTACCAACCATGGCAGATGTGATGGATTCCTGTAGCATTGACTAAAATACTACAATGGCCAAATCAGAAAAAATTATCCTGATAAAAACATAAATATTCTCATCATTCTATATGTATGATAGATACAAGGTCACAAAATATTGCTTCTTTGCATAGTCTTAAGAGACATTATTTTTTGCATAATCAAATACACCAATATTTGTTGTACCTGTAATACCTTTAGGCCTCTCTGAAAAGACAAAATTAATACTGATAGTCTTTATATTTTCTTTGACTTTCTGTTTTGCAATGGGGTGAAATGAAAAAACACACAAGATTGTATCATCGCAAGGTGAGGTGAAATTGGGTTTAACGTCACGTCCAAAATTATTGCACTTATATAGCGATGTGTGTGTGTGTGTGTGTGTGTGTGTGTGTGTGTGGCTGCTTGTACTAGTCCGGACTGATGCCGATTTAGTGTTAGCTCACTGAAAAACCATGCCGCAGTTTAACATGAATACCCCACTCAGACAGTTTTCTGACTCCGAGCCGACCAGTCCTTGTTTTAGCCCCTATATGCCGAGCACCAGACCAGACAGGGTAACAACAAGTACACTCTCCGGGCCGGGCAAGAATTGGTGAATAATATGTTTAAAAATCTTTATTATAACAATAAATAAAGCATCTCTTGGTATCGCCTTATGATTGTACTTCCATGAAGATGTGACCTACAAGTTTGCTTTTCATTCATATTAGTAGCCCTTCTATTTCGGAGGTTGAAATTTTCTCTCAACCACCTGCACTGAATTTTAGGCCAAACATTTTGATGTTACCACTAATACCAAACAAAAGGCCTAAATAGTTCGAGTTTTCAACTAGATGGCATCCCTGGTTCAATACTGTGTTTTGAGATGGGTTCGGGAAACAACTTTTAAAACCCCACTTGTTCAAACAAGAAAGAAGTGAGCAAAGCTCACATACCCCTGTTATCCCCGTTGGTCAACAACAAATAGTAAATAGTTAATTTATGAAATATACCTGTTGCTTTAAGTCAGAAGAACTGCCATTTCCTTTGTAACCCCATGAGGATGCATTATGTTTGAAATGAACACGTTTTTTTCAAATATATTTCAATCTAGTGTGGGATAATCAATGCTTAGCACAACATACATTCTTGGAATCCTTTGATACTGGAAAGCATGACTAAAGCATGACTAAAGCATGACGCATACTTATTATACATTAAATGAAAAAGAGCAAAAGAGAAAACTTTCAGAATTTTATAAAAGATAAAAAACAATCATAGTGGTTAATGTAGCAAGTTTGCTGAAGCTAGGATACATAATATTATAGCAAAAATTAAAAGGTTCAGAATCTTCAAACTAACAAAAGGCACAAGTACTCATTGTGGTAAATGTGTGTAGTAAGTTTGGTGAAGCTTGGGTGCATGGTTAACGGGGGTATAATAAATGACAACACTACCTCACCATCACTCGGCTCATATGTTAAAAGTATTGTTGAGAAATACTGATCACCAGTACTTCCTGTCTAATTTTCCCAAGCTCAGCTCAGGACCTTAACTCACCATCAATAATGAACGAGTCTTGATTCCATGAAAATATCAAATTTTTGTTTTAAACTTCAGACAACAGTCCACCTCTAGGTTGATACATTCAAAGCTTCACAATGCAGTTTAGAACAGAGTTTGGATACAGACTGAATAAGAGGTGCACATTTCATGACCGAGAATCAATAAGTAATCAATATGTTGTGACCTTACAGAGATCATCAATCTCATTAAAATCAGGTGAGGTGAGGTGAAATTGAGTTATAGTCGCGTCCAAGATTATTGCACTTGTATAGCGACGTGCATGCACGTGTGTGTGTGTGGCTGCTTGTACTAGTCTGGACTGATGCCGATTTAAAGTGCTAGCCCACTGAGATACCATGCCGCAGTTTAACATGAATACCCCACTCAGACACAGTATACTGACTCCGAGCCGACCAGTCCTTGTTTTAGCCCCTTAATGCCGAGCGCCAGACAGGGTAACAACAAGTACCATCTTTTTACGTCTTTTGGTATGATGCGGACAGGGATCGAACCCCAGACCTTCCGCTCTACGGACGCTCTACCACTAGACCACGGAGGCGGTCTCATTAAAATCAGAGCTTTTACTCTGATATGATATACGTCTCTGCGTGAAGATCTGTTGACCCCTCCGTTGAAGGTCACGTCAGATGGACTTTCCAATCAATTAACCCTGAGCGTGTCTATCTTACATATCTTGAAAACGAATAAAAATGAGCAAATTGAAACAAGATGGTAAAACAATGAGGGTGAATCATTTTGGAAAGCTGACACAAAGCCTTCGCTTAGATTGGGAGGTCAAAGTTTGCTCAGGTTTGCCGATCTGTGGAGATATCCTCTTATTGCAGACAGGTATCGTAGTAAAAGATCTGATTTTGATGAGATAAGATGAACATGACTGCATGGAACCATGAGTGAACAAGCATCTCTCGTTACATGTTCAAATATACATTGTGTCACACGCCTGTTGACCATACTTCACAGACGCTATGGGTTTTGAGCGATAAAATCAATGAAAAGCACTACCAGGGAACAAAGCAGAGCCATAGCACTTTGATTGCTTTCCGGGTTTGTTATTTAAAGCCTCACTTGGCAATATTCCAGCAAAATAATGGTATCCTGTTATGGGAGTCTGGACCAAACAATCCAGTCATTTAGCTGGAATATTGCTGAGTGCGGCATAAAACAACAAACCAACCAACCAATCCAGTGATTGATATGATGGCCGGGTACGATGACATGCAATCACCAAAGTCATCATGCGTCACCACCCAATCTTATAAGTAGTCTCTTTTGACGATAAGCACAGCTTGCTGGGGACCAATACTAACTCGGAATCCCTACAGGGCATTGCTAAATGTAAAACGGGGTACTTTTACAGTTTGTCTACTGAATGAAGGGAAACACATTACTTTTATTCTTAACAAGAAACCTAAGTGAGAAAAATGATTGGATGTCTTTCTATTTTATATTCCAGCCATAATCATGATGACCTTTGATGTGAGTCTGTGTTTCATCTGACCCGTGAAGATCCGGGGTAGAATAGGTCACCAGCAACCACTGCTTGTCGTAAAAGGCGATCGGGTGGTCAGACTCGCTGACTTGGATGATGCATGTCTTCGATCCCAATTGCGTGGTTCAATGCTCATGATGTCAATCACAGGATTGTCTGGTCCAGACTCGATTATTTACAGACCGCCATCATATAGCTGGCATATTGCTGAGTGCCGAGTTAACCAACAAACAAACAAAATTGTGTCACTGAAGTACAATGAGCTGCAAATCCTGTCACTCTGCCTGAACACTACGGTAGCACAAGTTACCATGGTTACTGGGGACTGACACTGGTCCACAATCCCCACGGATGGCAGCTATTTGATCCCAGAGGGCTATTAGGTTGTTCTCTATATTTCATGAACTCAAAGACAGATGTTACTATACTTGATTAAAAACATAATATTGATTACACAACCAAAAGCAACTTACAAAAGTCACATTTAACATACAAAAGTATGTTGCTGCAGACAAGGCCATCATGAAATATTTAGCACCCAAATACCCTAGTTTTCAGCCTATCCATAAAACAAAGAAAGTACAACATTGGTATGTCATCTCAAAATGGTTTTTTTCTAACTTCAAGTCATCCACTTGTCATCCACCTGTCATCCACTTGTCATCCACCTGTCATCCACTTGTCATCCACCTGTCATTCACTGATACTGATTGAGGATGGTGCTGCTGGTTTATCCATTTATTCCAAGACCACATCTAGTATGCACAGAGTGAGTTGACAGAACTGTCAGTTAATATTTTCTGCTTTAAATACTGTGGGAAGAACGCCCAAAGTGGATAATTCACCAGATCAGTGAAAGAAATTTCGCTGACAGTGCAAGAATCATAATCTGGGCAAGTCTGGCTTGGGAACACTCGGTCACACCACCCAACAACACATGGACATCATCCTGTACCAAGAGTCATCATTTTTTCAGCATACAAACATACACAAAAGACGCCAAGCCTGCAACACCTACATGCATACCTAGGCCTTGTATTGTGGCCTCTTCAACATAAGGCCAGTTGAAATGTTCAAGATTCTTGCAGTTGAAGTGATTGAAGATGAGAGATTTATCAAACTATAGGATTAAACCTTTCATCTTGAGAGCATCCATGCATGAAATCCTGGGGCTCACTGGAAACTTTCCCACTTGATACAGTACTTGAATACACACCTGAGGGAGCTTTAGAATCAGACCCATATTGGGATGCTGAGCATTACGAGAACATTAAACATGTTCGAGATCTTCGTCTGTGGTAACAAGCATCTCACTGTCTTCGCGGTGAGCTTCAGTACCGGTCATCAAAGTCGAAGACATACTCAGTAAGGTATCTGACCATGTGGCGTTTCTCTCTGATGACTGCATCCATCTCGTGCTGAACACGCATCAGAGCATCACTGGACACCCGTCTCAAGCCTGCATGCCATTCTGTCAATAATAGAAGTAGGATGTCAGTCTACATCCTCGATTACCTCGATTACTCAGTGTATTATATCTCCATTCTACACTACTCAACTTTTGATAGGGTTAATCAGATATGTCATTCTACAGTCAAGTCCTGTTAATCCAACATCTTTGGTTGCATATGATTATATGTCGGATTAACGAGTATGTCGGATAAACGAAATTAAGGGAAGTCATTCCCATTTTACGACCCAATTTTATATCTCAATTTATAACGTGTTATGAAGTGGAATGTGAATACAATGCTACAATGTTCTTTAACTTTGGCTACAGTCAATACATGATATGATCATCAATGGAATTTTGCAGAAATTAATTTAAAAACACTGATTTGCAAAAAGAATCTCCCACAAATATAAAGATAGAGATTATAATGTGTTGTCATAAACAGTTTTTTTCCATGTATGGTTAAAATATCTTAAAAAGTTAAATACCATAAATTATACTTAAAAGTGAAACTGTAAACACAGTGAATGATTTCCCAACATGCCTCTAAAGTTAAATGTGAATTTGGCTTGGTAGTTAACAAGTGCATGAGCCAAGCACAATAAAATGCACACAAACCCTGTCCTTTATTTCATTAAGACAGTGATATAAAATATTCAGCGAAAGTTAAATATTCTCACTACAGACCAGACCTGTAATTGAGAATTTGAGACCAGTAATTCAACTCGAAGTCTATTTCAACTGGAAGTAATTACAAAAAAAAAAACAGCACGGCTGTGATTGTGATCAGTGCATATATCATAATAGAATCCTCTGGATTATAAGGATGAGTTTCTGGCCTCAAAGTTAAAAATTTTACCAAGTATTTTTTTTCTAGGAAGCCAGTGGTAAAATCAAGAAGTCAATCCAACATTGTAGCTAGCCAAAAGCATTTGTAATTATCTTTATCAAATAACTATTATGATATGTACAAGTTACAGCACTTGTCTTAAAATTGTATCTTAAAGGAAACTCGACTTGAATTTTGTTACTTGTGACTTGAACAATGATGCAATTTATGTTACAAGATTATATAGGTATGTCTTTGCTTATCCAATGAGCATTGTCAACTAAAATAAAGTACTATTTACATTAATTTTTAATGTATTTTGGTTGATTGTCGACTTCAGAAGGAATTATTTGCCAGTACAATTATTAGCAGACGTGTTTTCCAATATCAGCTATTATTTATTTTTGTGTCTACAGATGTGTTGCAATAGAATTTAGTTGCCACAAGATACTTTTCTTGGTAGTCATTAGGCTACCTCTGAATTTTAGACAGAAGACAAACTGAGATTTAGGTCGCATTGGCTGCTGTTTTAGTCGCAACTTTGAGGCCTGGCGTCAAGGGGCTCCTAGGGTCCTTGAGGGTTTCTCCTATAGCATTTTTATCCAGGGACCCCCAAGATCTTTCAACACTGGACTTACCTGCGTAATTTCAAACATATTGCAAGACACTCTGCTTCATCGTCTTAACTAAGATGTATTGTTTGATAGGCACTACATAGAAGTTGACGGATGAAAGGTAGACACAATTTTATGGATAACAACTTCTTTAATACTGTAAACAGCGACGTTTCGGTATAGATCCTTATACCGTTGTCAAGCAAGACTGAATGAGGGACTTAGCAGTAGGGGATTAACAGTAACAACAATTGCATATATGAGTGGGATAACATAGGTAAGGTATTGACAACAAGGGGATAATACCGTAGCAACACAATGGACAGAGAACACATAGGTGGAAGCCAATTAAACAGTGATTACCGTATTCGACGTAATAAGCGCCTAGGGCACTCTCAAAATTAGAAATAGGGGGCTCTTATTAGAATATTATGTTGGTGAAAAAAAACAGAGTTAAAAGATAAATTTCGTGGTTTATAGTGACAGCCTGAAATGTTAATGTACGACAGATATTTTTTTCCAGAAATTAATTGCCCATAATTAAGGGTGCATATAACACACGAGTGTGTGTTATACGCAAAAAAAAAAGTCTTGTGTTCATTGATCAATCGGAAGGGGTGCTAGTTGGGATTTTCACTAGCCAATGTATCCTCAAATATCGCCGTGGGCGCTTATTAGACAGGGCCCTTATTACGTCGAATACGGTATTACTTTTTGAGTTCATAGTAGGCGGATGGGATGAAATAGCCTTGATCTCTGTTGATTGATGGCTTGTGGCGAATGTGGATTGCTTCTGTTAGTTTTCTTTAAGTGAAATCATGGAGGTTGTTGGAGAGGATTTGGACGTTGTGCCAGTTGATGTTGTGATCAGGACAGTTGTTGATATGGTCCGAGATGGCTGATTTGCTGTCGGATTTAATGGTGAGGGTTTTGTGCTCTTTCATTCTGTTATCCATAAAATTGTGTCTACCTTGTGTCTAACTAAGATATGCCTGTAATGTGAAGCAACCAACCCTCATCACTGCAGCAGGCGTGGAAGGCTGTCCACACAGAGCCTGAGAAGATCTCTTTGGGCAGCGGAAACTCATGGGTCAGGTACAGCAGTTTGCCCACAAACAGGAACGCATGGCGGTAAATGTTCTGTAGAGAATACAACTAGGTTATATTGCCAAGCAAAGGCTTTACATTTCACTGATAACAGGACATATAAAGAGAAAGAGGCTTAAATTCCAAGCTTTACCTTATTGCATTAAATGCAATGTTAAAATGCAGTGAATTTCAGAAAAAAAAATGTTTTTCTTCCAATTTGCCTTTGAAGGGCATTATGTTCTGAATCCTAGTAAATACCAACTTTTCTGAGATTCCACATCCCACTCCCTGGCTGCTGATAACCATATCCCCTCATTAAACCAATGGTTAGTGTGTCACTACTGGAGGCATTGATAATTCAATCAATCTTCACACCCTTAGTCGTGAAGTGGGAAAACAGACAGAAGAGATCTTATTTCTTAATGGAATGGAGTTATTTCAATGGTGGAATGATATTTTTGTTTATTGAGCTTGTAAACCCGCATATAGAGGGGAGGTTACTCTCATCTGCAAACCGCAGTCCTCTTCTGCGTTTCAAATGTTAACTGCAAGACCCAACTCAACCAGCATTGGAAGTGGTGGCATGGTATAATTATCCTACATACTTTTGTTTGGGGGAATCAACACGTCATTTTGCATTCAGCAGTCAAAAAAACAGTGATTGTGAAATTATTTTTGCATCTTTATAACTTCTCATTTTTATTGGGTCAACAGATCCTTAGACATTTTTTACAGGATAGACTTACAACTACGGAGATTTTGGCAGAAATATATGCATGAAGGGGAGGTCCAGTTCCAGTAAGGGGGATTTCTAATCCACCAGTGAGGGAGTGTATGAAAGTAATAGCTGAGATCACAGATGCGTTTTTGACAGACAGACCGTCTGCATAAGTGAGTGAGTGAGTATGGTTTTATGCCGCTTTAAGCAATATTCCAGCAATATCACGGCAGGGGACACCTGAAATGGGCTTCACACATGTCGGGAATCGAACCCGGGTCTTCGGCGTGATGAGCGAAAGGCTTTAACCACTAGGCTACCCGACCGGCCCACGTCTGCATGAAATCTCAAATGGAAAGAAATTGATTCCGGTCACAAGCAGACCAATGTTTCCAAATACATTGCACAGATTTCCTGGAATTCATCAACTTTCCTTTTCTCAACAAACACAGCAATCGTGAGTATGCTTACATCAGATTTCTTACTAATGAGAGACCACTTCATGATTTATTTTCCAAAAAATAAAAATATCATAAACAGTGAAATTTCAAACAGGGGTTCGAGTATTTTTCTGGGGGATCTCTAATGCACAACATGTTTTATAACGTGTGATTTTCATTAAAATAACGTGAATCCTGCAATCGCTTGTCCTGACAAAATCTAGCTGAGTAGTTCATTGCTTTGAAAAGGTGGCGGACTAAATAATCCAATGTTTTCGAGGTCACACATAAATTCCAAATACAATGATGCAACACCATGTGCATTACCTGGAACCAGTTGCCAACAGTGACACATCTTGGGGACGGTCTCAAACGGAGTCTTTGGTACCATGCTTCATCTGGATGTCCGAACGCAATGGCAACCAGAGCGAGGAACTCATTTTCTGATATGCGCAGGTTGTAATCCCAGTTTTGGACGAGGAAGTACCTGAGGATGTAACAGATGAAGCCGTTTTTTCGTCCGTATCGATCAAACCAGGTTTTGGGGAAGGCTGGAACAGAATATACCAGAGGTGTTTGCATGTACTTGCAATAACAGAAGCAGCCCCTTCAATGCCATTTCCACAATCATTACATACAACTGTGCATTTCCGGGATGAAAATATTACTTCTGGATCTTGATCGTTATCAAGAAAACTACCAAATCTATCGAATGTAAAAGGCCAACAGTAATTGGCAATGAGCATTATGAATGTTACAACCGTGAGCTACATTTGAAAATAACTTTAAAATGACCTTGACCTATGACAGACATATCATTGACATTTGATGTGGTGGAAATTGTTAGACACAAGCAAGTTTAAAGTTTCGTTTCTATGACCTTTGAGTGAGTTGGGTTTAACGCCAATTTTAACAGTATTCCAGTTATATCGCGGCGTGTCAAATCTGTATGAACATTTTATTTAAAATATAGTATGATAATACATAAAGATAGCTATCAATTCCTAATATGAATGATGAAAATTAATACTCATTGGTTCAAAACATTATCTGTTACCCTGCCTACGTCCTCATGTAACATTTTGAAGAAGTCAATGGCAGAATAATTTCTGAAGTCAGTAATCCTAACCACTAAGTCCTCATTATCCTTACAAATTAGACCTTATCAGAACAAATTACTGAGACATTAGGGCTGGGATGGGTAACTCGGGTACCCGGGTCGAGTGGGTACTGAGTAGGACCCGGGTACCCACAGGACTACCCGGACCCGTGGTTAGTCACATGATATATTGTTTAATGACCAAAATTATCTTTAACTCTATGGTAACACTACAAGTCACTAATGTTTGCATTTCTTTCTGACTATGCACCCATTCCTTCTGATTTTTCATACGTTTGAATAAAGATATAAGTTAATTCAACTTCAGTGTATGAATGACCAGATTGTTCAATACATGTATCTAAATACTTTTTGCCAGGGCTATGCTAAAAATGCTCCCATTTGGACATTTAGAGACATCTCTGAGACCTACAGAGGGTACTCGGGTAATAGGGAAGTGGGTACCCGGGTAGTAAATTTGGACTCATCCTAGCCCCAGACAGAAAATGTTTGTTTGACTGATGTAATTTTGAATAAACACTACCTGTATGTGTCTCTTGCATGTGTTACCATTTCAGAAAGTCTCACCTTAAACAGTCAGTACATTGATGGTTCTGTGTATTCTTAAATCATGCATGTAATAATTTCCGAGTGTAACGTCACATGACCAATTCAAACCAAAACAATAAAGCTCCACACACCACAGCGGACAACACAAGCGCTGCCAGAGTAATTGGCTTCAGTCATGTTTCTTTAATGAGGGGCAAATTGGAGAGAAAGCGTGTGTGTTTCTTGAGGATGTCTTACAAGATAGTAATTGCCAGCTTGATTAGATTAGAAGCCAGTGTTTATCTAACTCTAGATTACAACAAAAATATACCTCAGTCTTATGAAGCCAACCACACTCCTACCCAGAGTTGACCCATGAAGATTCCGGCGTAGAATAGGTCTTCAGCAACCCATGCTTGCCGTAAAAGGTGACTATGCTTGTCGTAAAAGGATCGGGTGATCAGACTCGCTGACTTGGTTGATGCATGTCATCAATCCCAATTGCGTGAGTTGATGCTCATGATAGTAATCACTGGATTGTCTGGTCCAGACTCAATTATTTACAGACCGCCGTCATATAGCTGGAATATTGCTGAGTGTGGCGTTAAACAACAAACCAAACCAAATCTACCCAGAGTTCCTTGCAACCTGCCTTGTACCTCTGTTACATCATCTCATCTTGTATATTTCATTTAGGTATTTTTCATCTGTTTCATTTTGGACGAGTCTACACGTTTGGATAACCATACCTTTCATTGAGAAAATATCCTTAACGTGGAAAGCTATTTCTATTTGCGTAATTTTTCTCCTGTCATGCTAGCAATACAGTCACTTTGATGTGTAAAGCTATATTGTCATCTTCATCACTGTCTCAGTTTCAGTAGAGTATCTAAATAATAATATGTAAACAATATGTAAAGTGCACAGATGGGCTTACTTTAGGCCTGTCTGTTCTTATTTCAGAATAAGTGAGTTTGTTTACAACCAAGAGAAATGTCCGGTCATGTGATAAGCCAACATCCGTGGTGTGGTCACTGGAACAGAACATTCTGCTGGAAGTCGGCGAGCAAAGAAGGGAAAGCTATTTACTATTACAGTAGAATACGGATATAACGAACTACTAGGGACCAGAGAAATCAGTTCGTTATATCCGTTGTTCGTTATACACGTTTTTTCATTTTTCGATTTACATACGAAATGTGTAGTCTGTGATTTTACTTTGGCCTCGTTTCGCTGACTGCATTCTTGAAACGGCATCGTTCAGATCCGCCAAACTGTCAAAAACTGTTTGTTTTACAGACAAGATTACATGTACAAGTAAGATTAACACAATGCAAATTTAACAAGGTTGATCCGTCACCACTGATTGTATTGATTCGCCGCCATTGTTTTGATTCGCCGCTGATTGCATACAGCCAATTGTCAGTGAAACTTAACACTGAGTGAGATTTCTCAGTTCGCTATACACGTCGCTAATTAGTGATAAATCCGTGTTCTACTGTATAACTATTATTTAAGCTGTTATATATTTACAAACAAAACTTGATAACGGTTGACGTCATGTCCCATTATCACGAATCATTTCATGTAGTTCATAGAAAAGATACTTCTGATTCTGTTCCTTCGAACTCCTTTGTGATGTCCTAATGTTTCAGCGTCATCACGACACGTTACTCACCCTGAGGTTCCTGATGGGACATAATGCGATCAAAGTGCTTCAGATTCTTGAATATTTCCTGAGGTTTTACATTGTTGATTGAAGGAATCATCCTGTCTTCTGTTGCATTGATCTGAAGGATAGGGAAAGTGAGTGAGTGAGTTGGGTTTTACGCCGCTTTTCATAGTATTCCAGTTATGACGGCGGGTCAGCTTAATGTGGGAGGAAAGCCCGAAGTGATGCAGGTCTCAGACGTTAACAACTTCGGAGAAACCCACGAGCACGGGTATGGTGCTGACAAACCTAGAAAACATAATCGGGGCGAACCAGGATTCAAACCCACAATCACAGGTTTCTGGCATGCCCAAGGGACGCAACTCTGCACAGCGAATTGCGGCGCCTTAGACAACTGGGCCACCCGTGCCCCCAGGATAGGGAAAGAAATTAAATATCACAACTCACAAGATGTCGCCCACTAATTATTTACTTTTGCCTCAACGTTAAATACCAGGAGTGTGGAAATAACAAAAACTAAAGTCCGTGGGGAAAGTGATCTGTCAAAAATTTAATTGTCCAATGTCGAAGGCTTCTTGTCCGTCAATGTACAGGCACAATATATTTCAGCTTGTGTATTGGACAATTGGCTGGCCCTGGATGTTAATAGTCCTCGTCACTTGAAATAGAATCACAAAATATCACGTTTTTTAATTAACGAAGATAACTGCATGTGTGCAAATAAAGTGAAAACAAACGGAATATTATTCACAGTTATGACAAAAATCATAAAGGGCGCTTTTAGGAATATAGATTTTGCGAGCGATAAACATCAAGACATAACTGAGTTTTTGGTTACGTGGTTACAATCAAGGTAAGATTTAGCAAGCGGTTGTATCAAAACTGACTGCCAATCCTTTTCAATTCTTGTTGAACATGTGTCATGGCGTGTCAGCTTGTGGGATAGACAAAAGTGATGCAGGTCTTTGTCAGTGACCACTCTGGTGAATGCCATAGCAGGGGTATGGTGCTGACACCCCTCAGAAAAAAATCAGGTAAAATCTGGGATTCAAATCCACCATATTTGGTTTCTGGCATCAAGTGGGATGCAACTCTGCACAATGAAATGTGGCACCTCAGACAACAAGCTACCTTATGAATAACTTACCCTCACATCTTCATAGTCCCTGTGGTCTGATCTACCAAATTCTGTGACCTGATGCTTGTGTATTGGTAGAACCATCCTATAGATGTACGTCCTCAGACCAACTAAAGCCACTTCCGAGGATGGGTGTCCGTGAGCTGACTCTTCAACAAGCATGCGGCGCCAATAGAAGCCATTATGGAGCCCAAGGACGTGCGGGGAGAAGGTGCCGTGCTGTATCCCCTCCCAAAGCAGGTTGTGGATGAACCCATGTGCACTCTTGTCTACCGCGGGGCAAGTCAGCATGTAGAAGTTGCGGGTGTGGGTCACAGCAGCTGCGAACTGATGATCTCGTTGCTGAAAAAGTAACCATGGCTAACATTGGTTGGTTTTGGTTGGTTTGTTGTTTTACGCCGCACTCAGCAATATTCCAGCTATATGACGGCGGTCTGTAAATAATCGAGTCTGGACCAGACAATTCATATCATGAGCATCGATCCACGCAATTGGGATCGATGACCTGCATCAACCAAGTCAGTTAGCCTAACCACCCGATCCCGTTAGTCGCCTTTTACGACAAGCATAGTCGCCTTTTAATCTGTTAGCACTTGTATGAAGAATTCCCTGTTTATGGTAATAAAGAATTGTCACTGTCGTCCTTGTCAAATCATTTGCCACTATTGTTAACAGATTTTGTAGTCCCTGGATAAAAATACTATAGGAGGTCCTTCAAGGACACTTGGACCTGTCTTAAATCATCCTTGATAATCCTCTGTAATCTAATCTTGGGAAAGGCATTAGTCATGTGCCGACAGCCGAAGCCTTTATCTAAATGGTGCATAGTTATGCAAAGTTGATACATGAAAACAATACTGAGAAAAAGCAAATATAAACTATTATGAGTTCTGATGACTTAGGTTGGTACGATCTGCAGACTTGTTCACAGATGATCTCACCAAAATTAATGTTAAATATCTTGAATTAAATTTTGAATAACAGTAACAAATTAGAACAATCATCAAGCTACATAAACAACAAATACTTCTCAGATTGCGAAACAACAGGATTAAGATGCGTATTCAGACTTGTTGACAAGCTATTTTTGGTGTTACAGGCTGGTGGGAGAGTGAGTGAGTATGGTTTTACGCCGCTTTTAAATAGCAATATTCCAGCAATATCACAGCTGGGGACACCAGAAATGGGCTTCACACATTGTACCCATGTCGGGAATCGAACCCGGGTCTTCGGCGTGACGAGCGAACGCTTTAACCACTAGGCTACCCAACCGCCCCACATGCTGGTGATAATTGTCTCTTCTTTGATATGGGGACAAAAATCAAAACTCATTGTCTGCATTGACCATGCACACCCCACTCTAAACCGTTGAGAAGTGTGCATTATACACCCGAAAATATGGTATTATCACTCAGATGTTTCATTTGTATTCATCATTTGTGTGACTTGGTAAGCAAAGAGTTTAACGAAATAAAAAAACTAAATTCTGTTTGTATCTCTTCTTATTTATTGTTCAGAATATTTTGACGGATTCTAAAAAATTAATTTTCCTCACTTTTTTTTAACAATGTTACGAATGTCGCATGAAAATAGTTGTCAATAAGCAGTTAGCCCATACTGATTCACAATTGTCAACATACCACATGATTCACGATGGTCAACATACCACATGATTCACGATGGTCAACATACCACATGATTCACGATGGTCAACATACCACATGATTCACGATTGTCAACACACCACATGATTCACGATTGTCAACATACCACATGATTCACGATCGTCAACAAACCACATGATTCACGATCGTCAACATACCACATGATTCATGATGGTCAACATACCACATGATTCACAATCGATGATTTCCAACATAACATATATGATTCATGATTTCAAACAGTGGGGTGGAGATAATTATAATACATATCCCGAGAATATGGGTGAGATACGATGTGTATTATGATACAGTACTTTTATTTTATAAGTTGATATTCTTTCCTTTTGGAGGTGAATCATAACCCTGCATCATTTGTTTTTAAAAGGTGGGATATTGTAGGGCAGAAACATATTGGCTAGAGGGCGCTGTGAATGTGATGCCATTTATAGCCAAACAGGAAATATCATTTATCATTTAGATTCTGTTATTATTCACATTTATTCACCAAAATAACCTGTAATGTAATGTATCGTATGTATCGGGATACTTGGGGGGCATATCAATGTATTGTATCATGAGGCTCATATCAGGATACCGTTAAAAGATGGTACTTGTTGTTACCCTGTCTGGCGCTCGACATTAAGGGGCTAAAACAAGGACTGGTCGGCTCGGAGTCAGTATACTGTGTCTGAGTGGGGTATTCATGTTAACTGCGGCATGGTATCTCAGTGAGCTAGCACTATAAATCGGCATCAGTCCGGACTAGTACAAGCAGCCACACACACACACACACGTGCATGCACGTCGCTATATAAGTGCAATAATCTTGGACGCGACGTTAAACCCAATTTCACCTCACCTCATATCAGGATACCATACTGAATTGGTGTATTATTACACCACCACCAAATATGATACATGACTTCCAACATACCATATGTGAAACATGACTTCAAATAGACATGATTCATGGTTTCCAACATGTGATTAATTTTGCTCAACATTTGATTCATGGTGCTTAACATACCATACGGTTGAGGAGTGCGGGATGGTTTTCCACACTTTTCCAGTTCTTCACCCATGAGGCCAGCTTCTGAATAGTGGGATATCCTTCGATGCCAAGCGAATGATGCAGTCCACTCCACATGAACGGTCCAGTGAAGTCATTGCCTGCCACGATGCTCAGCTCCACGATCTGACGGTGTTCCATCAACTGAGCATACACACAACAAGGTCAGACACGATGGAATGATAACAAAATGTAATTACAACATGAACCAAGGGTCAATGTCTTCCACAATACACAGAATAAACAAGACAAATCCAGTAAGGTACCTGTCAATATATACACAAAGAAAAAAGTTAAGCACACCCTAATATAGGTCATTATTGTTTGGTCCCAATATTTGTAACAGTTAGGAAAGATATAATTACGGTAAGAATGATATTTTCTTGAGATGATGTAATCAGTCATGCGTGACGAAACCTCACGTGCCATGCATGGTATGCACGTGCGGCATGCTACCCTCGAGTATCTCCAAAAGCAGTATATCCAAACGTTACAATTGCTTTCTTAAGCTCGGTTTTAAACAGTTATTCCATGACATTGTGTGACCATGGCACGAAGATGAATGTCAAAAGCCACAAGATGGCATATCATCGGCATGCATAAAGCAGGAATGTCCTGTAATGCCACTGGTCGGAATTTGGGGGATCGTCACACTGTCGTAAGCCGTTTGGCTGAGAAACAAACAAACAAACATGGATTTCTCTACTATTATCTAAGCATTTAAAAAGGCCAACATTTGGCTCCAGAGCAGTGTCCGAAATATCTGCCTGCTGCCGGCCCGTGACTGGTAACTTTTCTGTTGGGATGCATGACATTTTCCTTCACCTGCCCCGACTGTCTGGCAGATAATTCTAAGACTACTTAGTTATTTGTTCAGAATTATTATCAAGATTATAACTCCTTGTAGATTCTCAAGTAATCATTTGCATTATTTCAACTGAATGAAGATGCAGTTTGTCTTTGCTTTTTGCGATTTTTCAATATTCATAATGAATGCGAGCGTGTAACTTTGAAGATGGGCAGGCAACACTTATGGGTCACCTGCCCAACTGTCTTGCTGGGTTTCAAACTTATTTCAAACACTTTACAAGTTGGACATAAACTGTTTCTCAATTTATGTTAAGACAATATTTGTTTAATGCTACATTGTTAACTATATTAACACGGCTGCTGTTTTCATGACTTGCATTTCAATGGTGCCATTCAAGAGAAAAGGCTACAACATTTCAGTCTACACCAAAGACTTTTGTGACCACTAGCCCAAACTTGGCCACAAGCGTCATTTTCAGTTGAGTTATTATTATGTGGTCAGTTTACACCCGACCTTACTAGACTAAACTGAATTTTACCAGATTCTGGTTTCAGACTCATGGCTAAAGTTTCATACTGACAGTTTGTTTTTATTGTAATTTGTTGTGTTTATTGAAATTCCTGCATTATGATTAGCTAAATTGGTCAAGTGTTATTGCATTCATTTCCCAATGAATGTAAAAAAATTAAGCCACGTCCACCGATGTGCACTACGGAATGTCTGGGAATCCCAATATTACAGTCGAGGGAATTCCCTTTCTGCTCACATGTATCATCATGCACAGAACATTAAGACATATTCATTGTCCATATACCGGTAATCCTTTTGAGACTGAAGGTCAAAAAGGAATGAAACAGCAAAAAAATACACAGTCAATCCTTAACTGAATGCAAAAAAATATTGCTGAAATACCTCTAACATTATATTATAAAAATATTCAAAAGTTCATAAACAATTTTGTTGTTTAAAACATGTACACCCATGTACAGTTTGCAAAATATTCTGTTACCATCATAAATAAATTGATTATAGAGAATTGGTTTAAAGAAGGCGTATCCATGTTCTGACAATTTGCAATTACTAATCACTCACCCCAAGGCTCCAAGCTACTTTTTCTGCCTTTAAGACATGACATACAAGTCGGAGAGGTTTTTCTGGCAGCAAGATCGGTCTCCCAAGTTGAAGGTCACCATGTATATCGAACATCTCATTCGAAATCATTGCACCGTTCCGAAACACTAAGAAGTCTGTATCATTACTCAGAACAGCCAGGGCCTTTTGATTTGTCTGTAATTCTTGTGCAATGACGTAATCTGCCTCCCCTGAAGGCAGCTGGTGTACTATACATCCACAAGCTGTCAGGGTATTCTTAACCTGGATCTCCAGCAGCACTGGCCTCATACGAGCCTCATGGTGTAGATGTTCAACAGGAAACTTCCCCTGACACATATCCGTTATCTCTCTCAGTCTCTGAACTTCCTCCATATGCCGTTTCTGCCATGTTTCAAGCTTCTGCTTCGTCCCTTCATATGAACTTCCCTTAGCACCATCAACATAGAACACAAGCCCTATTCCTAAACTTTTCAAATCATTTACAAACTTTGACAGGTAGGCGTCAATAGTTTTGTATTCACCCCCATCAAACTGGAGGTAGGGGTTGTGACACATGTCCGAGAGACCACGCCAGAAGTGTTCCAGGATGAGGTGTTCGAAGGAGAAGAAGTCAACAAGAATCAAGATTCCATCCCTCTGACGTGCGACCTCGACCAGGTCAATGGTGTCAGCACATGTTGGAATATGTTCTCGACAGTATGATAACAGTCCCCGGATCCCCATGTTGGATTGCTAGTGTGAGGTTCATGCGCTACATGGCCATACTTGACCAAATTGTCTGAAATAAAAAAATGAAACATGTACTTGACACAAATAAAATAGAAACCCCGGAACCAGGAATTTGTCCAGGAATTAAGAAACCCTTTCTCTATGTTCTGAGCATTACCTAAGTCCTGCATTGGATAGTATGTATGTCTTACTTGAATATATTGTCTCAAATGGAAGGAAAATGTCACATGTACCCTTTTTCTTTGTGCTTAACATTAACAGAGCATCTGCCGAGAGAGTGAAATGTTGGTGGTTCAATTCCTTGCCGCATCACACCAAAAGACATTGAAAGACGTTACTTGTTGTTACCTTGCCTGGCGCTTGGGTGTGAGTGGATGAAACATGGACAGACCCAGAGTCAGCATACTGTGTGAGTGGGGTATTCCTGCTGAGCTGCGGTCCGGACCAGTACAAGAAGCCACAAACATCTGCATGCACGTCGCTCATATAAGTGCAAATATCTTGCATGCGATGTTATGTGTTTGGGTTAGGGTGAAAACAGGAAGTAATGCACGTTACCGGGTGCACTTTTTCGGATTTCAATTAGCATTGAGTGGAGGATCGAACTCACGTTGCCAGCTTGAAGTTATGTTATGAATTGGCGTGGTTCAACATAACAAACTATTTACAGATATCTCGGATACGAGTGCTATTGAAAATATCACAATTTTCATTGATATTATCCGCCGATCGGGTCCAAGGTTTTGGAGCCAGGGTTTGGCAAGCCGCCTAATATCAGCTGTTTTTGTGTTTATAGGCCTACTCCTTAAAATCTTACTCTTAGATCAGTCGTTGAATATCCTGAGATCGTTTCTGTTCCTCAATTCTTCATAACTCGGGGGATACATAAGTTATAGGGTGAATAACATGTCTTACCAACGACGAGGAATAGCCCTTCGCGCTGACATTTGGCTTTCGCTGCGTCTGTTGATGTATTTGAAAACTTCCGGTCTCTTAAAATCCGGAAGAAACAGAAATCATGTTGCGTTCGATCGATTTGCCAGGAACGCGAGAACTCACATAAGGCGTTAATGATCTCTGTTTCTGGTCACTTTTTGATATTTGCACAGTGTGCAATTAGTGATTCTCGAAGCTGATTAGTAAGTTAAACAAATGTCAATTTTCACTTAATCGAGATTTTTAAGACTAGAACATAGTTTCATATCAACCAGATGATTTCACATTATAATGAATAAAGCATTTATTTCGCACGAGTTTTAGTTTACAATAAGCGTAATAACAAAAAACAAAACTACGTCTGCGTTGTTTGTAAACAAACATGGCTGACCATTTTACACCTGTCAAAGTAAATGACCTCGTTAAAGTGGACGGAGATATGACAGGAAGAGTTGAGTAATGCGGTTGGAGTGAGTGGACAGTGTTTTTTCACACGCGGATTGATACAAAACAGCTGATTCTTGATCGGCGACAGTTGATTGTTTTTTTTCGTGAAACATGTCTTTAATATGAATATGGGTAATCATAAACCCGTATGCAAAATGTCTTCTGATATAAAGGCATAAAGAAAAAAAGGTGGGTTGACCACCCCCAGACCCAGCAGGGTCAAATGTACGATTTCGACCTCTATCGTATATTCGTCCCAATTTTGACTTGTACCATATATATCCTCACACGCAAAAGAAACGCAAGTGGTTTTAAGAAAATAGGTAACAAACACGGAACCATAAATTGATACGAGTTTTAGCATGTAGTGAAGCCTGATGGTCTTATCAATATTTTTGGTTGCATTTTGGAAGCCTCGAGTAAAAACGCAACATAAAAAACGAATCGCCAAAACGCACCATTTCAATGAAATGTGGGTATCATGCACCCATTTCTCGCGAAATCGAAAATGCAAGAACTGTCACGAACTGTAGTGGGTATAAAACTGTGGCCGATTCTTGGACCTACCACTCCTTGGTCAACAATGCCACGCCTAACTCAAATTCAGAGAAACCAGGCTATCGGACGTTTGGAAGCTGGAGAGTCTGTCCAAGATGTTGCCCGTCATTTCAACGTTAACATAACCACAATTTACCGTCTCCTGCATCGATACAATGCTACACAGACCGCAGATGATCTTCCTCGGCGCGGTCGTCCTAGGGTCACCACACCTCGACAAGATGGGCAGATTACCCGTCAACACCAGCGACATCCGTTCCTAACTGCAAGTGAAAGTGCTCGACAGACCATAGGAACACATAATCGACACGTTAGCCGGGACACTGTGATTCGACGTCTCCGTTCCAACAACCTCAGATGTCGCCGACCAGCATGTCGTCCTGTTCTCCAACCACGGCATCGACAAGCACGACTTCAGTGTGCACAGTGTCATCACAATTGGCGTCATCATGAGGGGAGGCGTGTCATCTTCTCTGATGAGTGAGTGAGTGAGTGAGTTTGATTTTACGCCGCTTTTAGCATTATTCAAGCAATATCACGGCGGGGGACACCAGAAATGGGCTTCACACATTGTACCCATGTCGGGAATCGAACCCGGGTCTTCGGCGTGACGAGCGAACGCTTTAACCACTAGGCTACCCGACCGCCCTTCTTCTCTGATGAAAGTCGTTTTTGTGTCTCCCATGTAGGATTTGGCGGCGTCGAGGTGATCGTTTCGCTGACAGAAACGTTGTGGAAAGGGATCCATGGGGTGGACCTAGCGTCATGAGACTAGGACCCATGTGCTTTCTGAATGTTGGTCAAGGTCGGGGACACGGCGTCACTGCTCAGCGGTATATCGACCAAGTGATCAGACCCCACGTTGTTCCATTTTTTGCACAACATCAACAACACATGTTCCAGCAGGACAACGCTCGTCCCCATGCTGCCAGAGCTACCATGGCCTTTCTGCAACAACACAACATCCGTGTTCTACCGTGGCCAGTCCTCAGCCCTGATCTGTACCCCATCGAACACTTGTGGGATGAGGTTCAAAGGCGTCTGCACAATGTGCGCCCAGTCCCTACAACTGATGAACTGATGAACTACGCACAGCTGCTCTGGATATGTGCAGGAGGATCCCTAGGACCTTCACAAATCGTCTGATCCACTCAATGTACAGGAAATGTGTGACAGTGATCACTGCTAATGGTGGTCACACCAGGTATTGAATGACATTTTCGGTATTGACCCGAAACTGTGTAAGCCCTTAACATTTGAAAAAACAGTTATGTCATCTGCCTTTTAATTCATTAAACTGTCTTCAGTCAAATTTTTGTCAATCTTGCTCTATTAGTATTTCTTGTCTTTACTGTTGAAAATAAATAACATGTATACTGCATACTCGACTTGCGTTTCTTTTGCGTGTGAGTATACATGAGCTTGTGTCGCGAAAGAGAGAGCGTATCGTGCCCCACCGGTGGCATCCGTCACAGACACATGCAATATACAAGTCAATTGCTCACCTGAAAAAAGTATCGGAAGATATGGTACAAGTCAAAATTTGGAATTATCAATTTTGTCACAAAAGTCATCCCCACATCAAACCAGCGCGTTGGCAAAGCAACCATATAGCGCGACAAAGCGACGGCAGTAAAAAAATAATCGCCCAAACAGTTATTTTTACTGCTTGCTGAACGACGCCTCAGGAAATCCTTTTTTTATGATTTGCATGTACTTCATGCCTGTGTTACGAGGGGATCCATTACAAGTCTCAATACATACCAAAGACAGATCACTCAACAATATCCAAACAAAATATAATAAATATATAAATATAAATATAAAATACAAAAGTCCGACAACCACATTACATTATTCACAAAAGTCAAGAGTATCCACCCCAAGTATCAGAGTTCACGATTAAAAAGTCTTACTTCATGCTAAAATGCACTCATGTCCCAACAAGATCCATTGAATTTGTCATTGCACATAATCCATTTTAATCCATTTGTTGCACATATTGACGACATGGCGTATACACTTAAAGTACCTGTACCATGCATGAAGCTTCTAATCTGCAGATGAGTGAGTGAGTTAATGCTTTACGTCACATCGGCAATATTTCAGCCATATCGTGACGAGAATCTGCAGATGATTCAGAGCAAGGTGTTCTGTTTCTGTACAAAAATGGCATGATATAACAAGGCTTGGTTTATTTCACGATAAACATTGTTCTATCATAACGTCATTTCTGGAGATTCGAAAATACGCTCATTACTTGAAGATGTAAATATTGGAAGATGCTATTTATGAGAGTGCAGTGAACTGTTCCCCTTAGATGTTGCTGTGCAACGCAGATAAACGCAATGGCATCCAAATGTTGGCGATACATGGTACAATAAAACACTGGAGGGGGAATACGACACGAGGAGCGCATGTCATAGTTCAGTGTTCATAAAATTGACTTGTCCAACATTGTCGAGATCAGATTGTATTCAGGGAGTCTTCAGATTTACTTTAGGATGGACTGTGTATTTTTTTCGGTTCATTGAGGTATGAATCGAAAAACCGATGTGCAAACTGTGTGAATCCGCAACAAACAAACGTAACTGTGGAACAATTACCGCACGTGTTTTCAGCCATACTTGTTAGCAGTAATTAACAGAAAAAGAAAAACACAAGAAAACTAAAGTCTTTACGGCCATTTGTCATGCCACGCCTTTCAAATGTGCAACGTGAACGTGCCATCGTCATGTTGCAGACGGGAACGTCCGTAGCTGAAGTCGCAAGGACGATGGGTTGTAGTCGACGGACTGTTTATGATTTACAGATGCGTCTACAGCAAACGGGTACCACCGCTGATCGCCCTCGGCCAGGTCGACCACGTGTGACGTCACATGCAGAGGATCGTCGTCTTCAGTGATGAATCCTGATTTAATCTTCGATTTGCTGATGGTAGGGCGAGGGTGTGGAGGCGCCGTCATGAACGTTACGCCCAGTGTTGTGTACAGGAAGTTGACAGATTTCGAGGCAGAAGTGTCATGGTGTGGGATGCTTTCTGTGGCAATGCACGTTCCAGGCTTCTTATCATCCATGGCAACCTCAACGCTGCTGCTTACCGCGACCAGGTACTGGCAGCAGAACTTCTGCCTTTTATGGCAGCACATGGACCCGGTTTGATCTTCCAACACAATGCAAGACCCCACACAGCAATTTTGACAATGGCGTCGTCTTCCCAATCATGTGTTCTCAAGCATCACAAGGTCCATGCGGAGGCGTTGTGTGGCAGTTGTCAACGCACATGGTGGCCATACACGCTACTGAACTTGTGTGCCAGCAGATTATCGTGCTTGGGACTTATGATTTAAACTGTTGATGTTATTACCGAATACCGTAGGTGCTTGGAACAATTTATGGTTACCATCGTTAATTAAAACCCTTCTTTGGACATTAATGATTAAAAATTACCTTCTCTGATACATTTGTCCGTTGTATATCATATATGGGATTCCTTTTAAAAATGTGAAGTTTTTAATTTTGGGAAGAGAACCCTGGCTTTCGACGTGACGAGCTAACGCTTTAACACCTACTCAGTATACAAACCGAAAAAGCCACAATGTAACAATCCAAATGAAATTCTAATATCTGCTTATCCTATTTTAACGTATCTTATACCTCATAAGATAAGAGTCGAGAAGGCTAACCTGACCACCTTTTTGGGTGGGGCAGGATGGGCTCACCTTTTAACGAACACCTGGTACCACCAGAATTTAAGAGTGGTTCATAAACGCATGCTTCTGATAAAGTCGGAATTGTACAATGCAAGTAGTTAGAAGCAGAACCCTAGCTCCAAGTCAAGCAGGAGTTACCTTCCCATACCGAAAGTGCCGCCATCTTGGATGTGCGAAGAGGGCGTGCTGGGTAATGCGTGCGCATCCAAGATGGCGGCACGTCCGTTTCCGGGAGGCGTGCGAGGAGAAGCGCACGTAAAATCAACCACGTCACTAAAAGAAGCGCGGGTAAAATCCTCCACTGAAGCCAGTAAGGTAATCGTGGGCATCAGGGTTGGCAAGCAGAGAGAGAGAGTGAGGAGGGTGGGAGGTCTTTTTTTTGTTGATGAAAGCAATGATGAAAGCGTTCTTTCGGGAAACAGAGTACTAACATACCCTGGTGGTGGT